ATTTCTTTACTTACGTCTTGACCGTTTAATCGGAAAAGAGGTGAATTTTAAGGTAATTCCTTACCTACAGAAGACTAAATTTTGCTATTTAATTTGATTTTGTTTTTAAACACGTAATTGTGTCTTAACACTGTGTATTTTAATGATTGTCATGTTTGTGCTTTTAGTTGTTTCTGCATTTTAACTCACCGTAAAGCTTCCATTCATGTCACTTTCACAACTGTAATAAATGCTCATCACTTTTACTTCATTTATTTTAGAAAGTGGAATAACTCGAAGAAGTGCTTGGCGCATTAGCGCCTATTTAGGCTATGAGCTGAAAATTTTACTATCCATCCATCCTATGACGGTTTACATTTAATGTCAATTTTCCACTTCTAACAAGTTTGGCTTTTGGTATATGTAATTACGGCAAAGCCACGAGAGCTATTTCCCAAAGGGAGGGATGCTTTCGTGGAGAACTTTCTCAGGGAAACTGCCTTGTATACACGTCACACATGGGGAAAACCACGAAAACGCCCATCCAGCCATTACGTTCGCGGGATTCGAACCTCGGACCGAACTACCAGTGTTCAGTGACTTTTGCCGCTCAGCCGCTGGTGAGCTCTTCTAACAAGCATCCGTGGATACAACATGCTTTTCGTCAATTTAATAGATGATCCCTTCTGTCTCCGCAGCATTTTTCCCCTTTCCAAGAGGGGAGATTAAATTATGTATTATTATTATATACTAAGTATAAATTATGCATTAAGTAATGTATACTCATGTAAATATTTACAAAAGTCATTCTTACCTTTAATTACCTTACGTACCTTAAGGTTATGACATTGTTATTTAAGATGCCGTAAATAAATATGAAGATGATGAATAGATTTAGCGAGTACTTTCTCAAATTTGAAGGGCTCTATCCAAAAATATATATATATATATATATATATATGCAATCTAAAATTTCAAAGCATTTCTTGTTAAAAGATTTTTAAAAAACTGTTTACAAATTTTTTTTTTTTTTTTATGTGTGAAAATTTACGATCTGGTCCGGATATTTAATTTCGAATTTACTACATAAAACAGTTTTAAGCTAAACAGTTACGATATTCCTAATAGCTTAAGAATTAATTCCCACAAATTCAAGATACTGATTATAAAATCATATATTTGCAATAAGCTGTTCAAAATAACAATGCCAGACAATACAGAAGGAAAATATTTTAGGATATTATTCCATAAGAAGTTAACATGGACCTTTTGCTATTACTGAATAAATAAGGCATTATTATTCAAAACTTAGTTGGCAATATATCTCACAAAATCACTTGCATAGGAGGCTTCCATCAAATATTTCCACGAGTGGTGTGGAAACAGTTTCTAAATTCGCGTAATGAGAAAAATAAATCCTTCTTTCAAGTGTTAAAACAAAACTCGTTGAACTTATTTGAAAGTGAAGAAGTTTTGTAAACACGTAATTTAAAAAAGATATTTATTATGATATGTAGAACAAACAATGCATAGCTAAACAATATCTGGAAAGTGTTTAGGTATGCGTCATAAATTAGAAAATTCGGGACATCAGAGCAGGATGCTAGAAATTTTTCCAACTTGTTGCTGCATGAAATGCATTTTCTGATAATTCTAATACTCCTCTAGCCGTTTTAGTAAAAAATAGTTTTTTTACTGTATTATTTGTTGTTTATTTTAAATCTTTTATAAAGAAAAAGGAACTTAAAAGTTTAAGAGCTATTCTCTGCTATAAAGCTGCTCGATACCGTTTTCCTCCTCTCTTTTTTAAAGCTGTGCTTTATAACTTCCTGCTTAAAACATTTTTTCATTTTTATCCGTGAAAGAAAGCATATGGGCCACGCGGAAGTATATATCATCTTGAATTCCATCTTTTTGAGCATTCCAAAAAATAAGAAACTGGTGATTTGAAATGGAAAGCAAGCAATACATTCCTTCCTACTTCGAATAAGTGAGCAACTATTTTTATCAGTTATTCCACTTGTTGGAACTCAATGCAGCATTAATATGAAACTTTTTACGACCGGAAGTTGTCTGTGTGACTTTGGGAAGCTGACTGAAAAAAGAAAAACTGAACATATAAATACGGCGCTGACATACTGCTTCTGTTTATCTTTGCTTCCTGCCATAATCTTTTCATTTCTTTCTTTCTTTTTAATCGAAACCAATAATACTTGCATACCAAATAAGCTTAAGTATAAGAAATCCAAATTTAATAGTATTTTTAACCTGCAGTACAGATATTTAATTTATTATTCTTGATACAAAAAAGCATAATCTTTTTATGCAAATTGACTACTGCAAGTGACAAGTGACGGAGAATGGGAACACCTGGTGGCTAGCAGAGGTCAGAAGCGAAACACACGAAAGTAAAACATAAAATTAGCAAAGAAACAGTCTTGTGTTTGGTGTAGATTTTTTAGCGAGGACTATCGATTCAGGTATAAATCCTTCTTTATAAGGAGTCGGACAATCATCTTTCTGATAGAACATTCACTTAATTTACTCTTTATTATGTATCATGAGGGGGTTTCTTACTGAGAGCAAAGCTCTAGGAGTGGCATATGCTATTATGGAAAGATAGTAGGGAAAGACAAAAAGACCTCATTTCCCAAAAATTCGCAAAAAATCATTTGCTACTGAGGAAGAGGGGCCTATGTCTATTCGCCTTCAAAATCAATAGTTTTACGAAAACTAAAAATTTTTTTCTATTACCTTCAAATGTCACACTAGCGTGTTTATCTTTCTATTTAAACTTTGCTGATATAGCAGGATTCATTCTTTAACACCTAAGTATCCTTTGGTGAATCATACAACAAAAGGTCACATTCATCGCTGTAGGGTATATTTTCACTTGAATCGTTATAATAGTCCAAAGTCATTCTTCTACAATCACTTACTGCAGCAAGAAAAATCTTCTTTCGTACGTAGAATTTAGTACATAGAATTCCGAGAACGACCGGACCGAGTCTGGAGCTGTACTCTGGTGCTTTGCCGTGAAGCTGTCTTCACCGTTATAGCCTGAAGGCTGTATTGCTGATTGTTTCAGCATGCTTGTCGCAGTTTTTCGACGACTGTAAACACGTTTTTGGAGCTGTCCTGAGTAATGCTCGTTGAGTAATAACTGAGTAATACTGGCTAACAAATTATGTTTGCATTCTTCATCAAGTGCTCTCGTCAATCACTCCAAGGAAGAAATCATATAAATATACAGAAAAAAGACACTAAAATTGTTTAATGTATTTAAAAAGCCAGTAATAATATATTTTTACAATATAAAATTTTTTATGCAATAAGTACAATATAAGAAAGTAAAACGCGAAACATAAGAAGATACAATAAAAAAATACGAAGAATGCAAAACTAAAGAATGGAAAGCAAGGAAAAGTGTTTTTTTTTTAATAGGAGATAATTTTAAAATTAAGCAATTTTATATGAAATATTAGAAAAAATGCATCAAGTGCAGCCATCCTTTTTATTAAAATTGAACATTTGTACCTAAGAATATGTGATTTTGTTTCTGAAAACTGTTCGTATTTGTAAAATTAAAAATAATGATAATATTTCCTGGTTAGAAATAAATTTTTATAATTATTTTATAAGATACATATATTAAGATCACGCAAGCAAAACTGGTTATAAATACTGCCGTGGAAAGAGAAAGAGTACTTAGTGTGCATAAAAATTGCTCCGTAAATCAAGATCCAAATATCAACCTTCTTCAAAACAAAAAAATTTTTAAAAAAACTTTTCTTTAAATGTATATGAGTATGATACAATCTAGGATTATTCAAGTTTCTTTTTTTCTTCAGTATTATTTTTCTTAGCATTTCTTACAAATGATAAGAACTTAAAACTAAATTCAGTAATATAAGATTACAGTATTCCACAGATTACCTTGTGTTAAAATTATAACTTGAAGCTTCCTATCAAAATTTTAAAGTAAACCCTATTTTCACACCAATAGCTAGGATAAGACAATTGGGGTATTAGCTAGGGTAAGAAACTAGCTAAACTAGGGCAAACTATTAGTTAGAGTAAGAAAACTAGTTATTTTTTTTTTCTCATTTGGAAAGAATTTCGTGATGAAATTCTTACCTTTGTCTTCTGAAAATGTATATTAAGCAAAAATTCAGTCTCAATTTTTGGTTAAAAGTTTAAGCAAAAAAGAATTGTTTTCCACTTTGTTTTAAATGTTCCCTTATTTAAAAATTTCAGAAGAGCCTTTTAAACATAACTAATTGCTCCTCGGCTTGCGCCATAGTTAAGAAAGATTAACAGATGCACTGGCATAGAGGCAGGACAAAGATGCCTTTGAAAAGGAAGTTAATTACAAGAAAAAACAGCTTAAATAAATTTAAGGATGACTGATTGTTTGCTTGTTGTTGAGTCAAGCAAAACTTTCCATTATTCATAAGAGAATGGTTGCCAGAACCTCATGAAGGTTGGACTTCTATTTCTACCCAAATTTTCAAGAAAAACACCTCGGGGGTGGTCTGGGGATCTTCTGTACCACCAAACCACACTAGAGGAATTTCGGTTTGCCATATATTTAGAATACCCACATGGTACAAAGACGCTATACATTTGCAAACATCCATGCCTTCTCCGCGAACCCAGGCCTTTCGGTACGACATTCAGAGTCATTAAACATTATCCCGTCTTGGCGGCTGGAGGATTATAAATAGTCAATAATAAACATTATAAATAGTCATTAATAAATACACATGAATGATTTCATGTAATTCTTGTAAGCAAATCTTGTTAATAAACTATTGTTCAACTGTATATGTTTTATCGTTATTTCTTACTCTCTTCTAACAGCCCTCAAAAGTATTTCTCGGGGCAAGCTAGTTTACAAGTATTCACCTTGAATGAACACGCAGAGAAATCTTGAGTTCAAGGATTATTAAAATGAACATTAGAAATAATGTACTAGTTAAAAGAAATCTGAAAATTTTTAATTTTAATTTTTCTTCTAGGAAGCACAGCAGTGGAGATCTGCAAAGCCGCCTGAAAACACGTAAGATTCTTGGTGTAGGCGAAACAGATAATGGAGATGTTCACAGATCAAAGGTAAAGTTAACTTGAATTTTATGGTTATATTCTACAATTAGCAACATATCTAAGAGAAAAAATAATATAACATGAAATGTAATTAAATAAATCATTTAGAATTTTATTTGAAGCATCTGTTTGTTTACATTTTCTGCAAGATTATTCCATATTTACGTACATTATATAGAACTGTAATTTAAAGCGAATGGATTAATTTTATTTCCGTACAAATCATTGTTTGGGTAATTATCAAGTTATTTTGCCTTTTCGGCTATACGTTATTTTCTTCAACATTCAGTTTGTATGTGGAAATAGTATTAACTTCTTTTCCACAAACGTACTGTCATCGAAAGCAGAATCTGTTTATTATCTAGTAACACAAAGAATGGACGTAGATCTCCAAAATCATCTTACACGTCCTCATAAAAACGAAACTGCGGGTATTAAAATTCCCGAAAGTATACTATATCTTATCCGTAGACTTTTCATTCTTATAATTATGACCCTAATAATATCTTGCTCCGGGTTTTACAGCGATCATAGAACATAACATAATAAGCGTTTTCAAAGCAGAATGAGCATATATTGTTCCAAATGAATACTAGTGTGGTGATCCTGAGGCGTGAGGCTCGCTCACTTTTCGGTCTTTGTCGCCATTTGTTAGCACTGACGGTAAGTGCGACGTACACATTGCCGATGTCCTTGACGACGGTAAATGACTTGAATTTCGATCACGTGTCTATTACTTGGTAGTCAAGTACTGTACCGCTGTCGTAAAATAGTTCCTATGCGGTATTTTCTGATATTTGCGCTACTTCGTGGTGCGAGCGTTTTTATTGGCCCTCAAGATCGCTACATACTCCCTCCCCAAGCATTTTGAATGCGATATGCCACAGCATGCGTTGTGGGTATGGTTGCGGACCTATGCGTTGATATGATTGATCTTTGCATTGTTGAGCATGTCTAGTTGGGTCCGTTGGATATTGTGGAGTGAAGCGCCGTGGTGTGTGTGACATAGTTATTTGTCTCTAGGTGAGCGGTGAGTGTTCTTGTCACATTTAAGATCATCCTTTGTGGCGGTTCCGAGACGTGAAGCCCATATGTTCAACTTTTCTGCTTGCTTGTGTCACCATCTTTTAGAACTAATGGGAAGTGCGCTAATGTCCTTGGCGACGTTAGATTACCCGTTTCGATCGTGGGTCTGTTATGTCAAATATCCTACCACTATTGCTAAAAAGCTCCATGTGTGATAGATTCTAGTATTTGAACTAGTTCGTAATGCAAGCGTTTTGATTAGTTGTCGGGATGGTTACACTAGGGTTTCATAAGCATTGGTAGATTTTTCTGAGAGAACCGTAATTTAATTTTTGATTGTCATCAACGAGCTCAGCTATTATTCCAGTTACGTATAGCAGTGGGCAGCAGACGAACACAGCTCGCATTTTAAATTTACGAATAATAGATTTGGAATGAAAGAACTGCTTAATCTCGAAGCTGCTGAAGGGTTAAAATACAATGATCTATCTATGAAATTAATGGTGGAAGAATAAGCTAAAATTGAATTTAGAACAATTTTTCGGAATCTTAAAAAAGCATTTTAAAGGCCAAGCATCTTTCCTGCAAAAGTCTACAGTAACGAACAAGTTATAAACACTTCAACAAACTACAGTAACAAATATTTTAGGAAATCAAATCTAGTGTCACGAAACTAATTTACAGAAGTGATGCAATATAATTATATGTCATTCTGTCATTCATAGACATGTGAGTCTGCATTTTATCGATGCCAATGTCATTTGGTTTTTCAAAGTGTAACTTATGGTGATGCTTCCACAAAGACGTTTTCCGATTTGAGGGATGTCACTATTGTTACTGAGGTTTACGAAGGTAATGAATTTGATTTTAAGGTCAGATTTTGCTCTAAAAGAACTTTGTTTGTAAAATTGCTAATGTGTTGTTCTTACTCAATGGCCATGTAATAAATCTACTCACTGCAGTACCACACAAATCTGTAATCTAAATCTTTTTTTGATATGATTTAACTCTGTTTAATTTAATACCTTATTGAATCAGTAAATATTACCGCTTGTTGTTATGCTTTCATTCAACTGCATTATTACTGAAGAAATTGCTTATTGTTTATGATTTAATTCAAGTGCATTATTATATAAGAATACAATCTTTTCGTTTGTTGTAATTATTTAATTTAAATAAATTGGTTAAAACTGAATTTAATATGTTCAACGTTTAACATAATTAACGGAGAATACCATAGTACTTTCTACCATTTTTCAGCTCTAAAAGAATTTGCTTAAACTGCATAGCACTTTCATTCTGTACAACAGAAATTTAGGATAACTGATGCTAAATATGGAGAATTACTTTTGGATGGTAATATTTATTATTCATCAATCACGGTAACGTTATTATTAATTAAAGATTTAATAACTTTTCATGGTAAGTTTTTTTTTTTTTTTTTTTCTTAAGAAATTATTCTAAATGATCCTACGCGGCAAAATATTAAAGCACATTGCTATAGAATAAATATAGAATTCACTATGGCCAACTCTTGAAATCCAGCTAACACAGTTCTTAAGGAATTGCCAGGATGTACTTTTCCAGCTTGATATTGAAAGCATTAGGAATCATATAAGCAATGCTTTTTTCTTATACACACTAATGGAGCAAAACCTCTATTTTATTATTTATTTATTTATTACGTATTTCGCCATTTGGCCCTATACAGAAAGGGAGGGAGGATTGTTTTAATGCAAACTGGCTCATATCCATGTTACGTATGGGGAGAACCACAAAAACGACTGTGCAGCCAGCCTGTTCGCCGGGATGCATAATTCACAAGTGCACCTCAGTATCGCCACTGAGGGATTTCAAAAATGGACCAATGAGCTTCTATTGCTCTTGTCACGTTGAATCTTCGAAACTGTGCTTGTGAGCGCATGTTGTTGTTTACGTTTTATTTTGCATTTGTTTGGCAGTGATAAATATATGGCGAATAAATGCTGCTTTCATTTTCGTACGAAATCTCGTAGTGCTTTCATTTTATAAGTTCGCTCTTTATATCGAGGAAATGACTCGAGCTATAATCAGCCTCGAATATTACGCATTTACTAACACCTGTGGATTCAAATGTATAATTTTTTTTATTCAGCTGAGAATAAATAAAAGTATTAGGATGAATCTAGTATTTTCTTATCTCAAAGCTTGCATTCCTTTGATTTGGCAAGTGTAAGTTTCAAAATACATATTGTGAATGATTTTTTTATACCTATTGTTAACATTAAAAGTTATATATGAATAAATTAAACATATTCGTTGTGAATAAGATAAATTCATTCTGTTTGAAGAGTATTTCTTGAATAAACAATGCATTTAAGAACAAACCGTTATTAATGGGAAATTTAACACACTAAATGTGTAGAAATGCAAATTAGGAAAGTTCACTTTGAATAAAATTGTGTCTTGGCTATTATTATTATTATTATGCATCTTTTTCATATAGACAGCAATAAAAGTTTCATATAGACTGCAAAAAAATAACTTCTATTTACATATATAATTATGCTTACATTTGATCTTTCGCACTGAAAATTTTCACAAGAAATGCACGATGCTTTAATTATTTTGTACAGGAACTTACAGGGCAAAATATTTAAAGCATCTTGCGTAAAAAGCGACAAAAGTCACGTGAAAAGACATAAATATTACTGGAAGACCATTGGTCCAGTCTAGAAGCCACTCCCTTGGTGGCGATACAGATGTGCACTTACGAAATGTCCTGCCGGGACATGAGCTCCCGGACCAAACTACCGATGTTCGGTGTTTTACACTGCTCGACCGCTGGTGGACAAAACCTGTGTTTAACAACAGAAAATATATCGGAGCAGCTCTACTCAGTTTCGGGGTAGTCAGTAGGTTCCGCATATACTACCAAATGTGAATTCAAATAATGAAAGGAAATTTTCGCTTCTCATGTCTTCAAGAGAAAAAAAAAAAATCATTTGTCAACTGAAAAGTCACCAGTAACGATAAATATGCCCATTATAGGAATATAAAGCATGGAAAACAATGTTATGACAGAACATGTCAAGAAACTAATTTCTGAAAAAAAAAAATGATAAATGAATAGAGATCGGAATTTCTGTAATCTTCTTGACTCAGGATTATTTATGCTAGCTTTATATGCATATATATATATTATAGCATATTTTTTCATTATATGCCAGTTGTAAACTGGCATATAATGAAAAAATATTTTGCTTAAAACTTTATATCACAAAATACATACATTGCTTTAATATTGTTATTTTTTTTCTCTCTCTCTTTCTTAGATCAGTCAAGTTCTCGGCCACAATGAGCATCTCTTTGTGAGATTTCCACGATGCTATTGGTTATGGCACCTTGCTATGGCCGTTGTGTTTACAGCAGCTGGCTTTATGGTAAATCTATTTAGCATTTCATCGCAAAATTCTAGTTTTTTAATACCTTATCCATAAATGCTTTGACATAAAAATTCTGCTTATCTTTGATTCTTTTGTCAATAATTTGAATCTTTAATTTTTTATCAATTATCTCATATTTATGAGTATACGTATCACCATGTATTTAATGCATAAGTATGCTTTTTATAAAAATCATGTATGTGCAGTAGGGTTGTACTTAAGCCCAAACTATAAGATCCTGTAGTTACAGAAAACGTCAGCAAAGCTTGGCACAGAGCAATTAAACAAGTTTAAAAAAGCTTAATAAATTTTATCTTGTTATTTCAACCATCATCATTGAAATTAAAAGTTCACTAGTTACAACTGCATTTAAAATTTCTCGTATATCCTAATGCTGCCATTTACTGGAGCATTAAAAAGTATGAGATTGAGATCAATTGGAAAATGGTAGCCGTCAGCGGTTTGAATGGAAGATTTGTGGGGCCATTATAAAAAGTGCATTTCATAAAGAATAATGAAGTTTCATCATTTATATGTTGCAAGCTTGCCTTACGCATCTCTAAAAAGATAAAAACACTGATATGAAAATGAGAAGGCCAGGTAACTGCCAACTTAACCCTGTTAGATTTATAATTCTCTTGCTACAAATTTTGACTCTGTTGGATGCATATGTTTCATTTACAATGAAAAATTTCAAAGTCTACACTGAAAGCAAAATATTTATATTTTTTATTTTCAACTAAAATGAGTGTTTTATTTTACTGCAATTTTTAATCTTTTGAATTTCTACGTGCCTCATATTCCCCATTACCCACAAACTGACTTGTTACTTTGACACATGGCTCAATGAGCCCGTGATTTTAAATTTTTTTAATTAAAAATTTCTTATGGTCCTTGAAAATTAATAAGTCATTTCTTACCCCATTAAAGATCTTTTAGCTGATAAAATAAGCATGAAATATGCAAAATTGATCTGAAAAAAAGAATCGTCAAAATTGTATGACTTTCACCAGATTCGGAAGAATGTCGAAACCGTGCAAATTTAGCCGTATAAAAATTAAATTTCATTAAATACAAAATTCAAATTTTTTATTTCTCTACAAATAGTAATTTTAAACCATTATTTATTTGTAAGTTGCATATTTCTAACATAAAATAATAGTCTTTCAGAAATTTGCATTCTAAAATTTAAATATGAATTGCCAAGTTTAGAGAATGTGTACCAGTGTTTCTCAACTGGGGGGAAGAGGGAGGAATGTGGTCAGCCTTTCATCAGTTAAGTATTTAATTTTAGTTTATGGATATAAGAGCTACTTTTATTCAAGGTTTGGTATTTATTAACATTTTCTTTACTTTTTGTTGTTTAATTTATAAAACACATTCTTCTTCTTCACTTGCATTACAGGCCTATTACAGTCTAAGGCTGTCTCAACAGGATCTGATCAATCACTACAGTCTGCCAACGATTGATTTTTTTGAAAGTCTTGAGATCTACCTCCACACCAGTGTATCAAACTTGTGTCAGATCTTGTTCTTTTCCTGGTACCCCCTACATTTGCAAAGATAAAACACATTAAGTTACCTAAACTTAAATAAATTTTCGAGTTTGGGAAAGAGAGGAGGCATGATCGTCTAGCAGTGGTGAAAGAGGTGCATAGGATAAAAAAGGTTGAGAACCATTGATGTATGCTAATGTCTAAAATCCCCCAAAGTGTTGAATTAAAGAATTTTCATACATTGCGGATAATTCTACTATGAGGAAAATGTTTCTCATTCAAGATCATATAAAACTGTAAGTTTCCTGTATATTTTTACAGAAACGCATCATATATCAAAATAGTTGCAGTCTGAAAGCCTATCTTATTTGATTTATTCCTTAAACTATAACTTTACGTTTGCAGTTAGTGGTTCAAGAGACATTTAAACATGCAAGTATTTTAAATATCCTTTACAATGAGAGAGTTTGCAATAAAGATATCAGTTTATGATGAACATTAAATGTCTAAAACAGAAACTGTTGTCTAATAATTAAATATTAATAGTAATAAGGGATTTTATTTTCTGAAATAAATTGTGCATGTATTTTTTAGTCCCCCCTTCCCATATTGTAGACATTTTTTTCCATAAATAGAAAATATACAACTGATATTATTCTCCTGTTTTGTCTTTTCAGAATCTTTTCACTCCAACATCGGAACAGGGTGCCTCAGAAAAAGGCGAAGATAGAAGTTCCCTGCAGATGATGACCAATTTTTACGGATCAGTATTACTAGGTTGATATATCACATTGACTTTACTTTTTATGCTTTATCCATAAATTACATTTTGGAATATATGAAAAAAAATTTAACACAGTAAGTGTTTGAAATCTTGAATTCTCACTTAGATAGATATCTTCGCTAAGTCCTATTAATTAATGCAAAAGAATGGTAGTGTCCCAACTGGCGATCTACCGAATTTTGTTAGTTAGTTAATTAATTTTATAATAGATGGCGCCACCTCTTTTTCAGACTATTTTGTTTGTAAAAGCAATGTTGCTTTCACATGCAATTTTTCCATTGAGTTTGCGAAGAGCTTTAAAAATGCACTCTTCGAATGTTTGCTACTCTCAAATAAATTTCATGTTTACAATACTTTGTGAAGAGCTTTTAAAATGCCGTCTTCGAATCTTTGTTATCAATTTACTCTCAAATAAATTTCATGTTTACATTACAAACAGTTGAAATAAAAAGCAGATGAAATAACACTTATCTTAAGTGGCAACAGTGTTTAATTTCTCTTTCTTAAATTCATTATCTCTTTTTTTTTTTTCAACACTCTGTACATAGGTTTTGAAACAACTTAATATAGCAGTACAAAATCGGGTATATTTTCTCTTACCTGTTTCATTCACTATATGCGTGAAATTCTGGATATAATCTGTATATAACACTTAGGGGCTCACTTTCAATTATATTAATATCAAGTAATTTATTGAAATACTTAAACCAGCTAATTAATTTTAAAAAAATTCTTTCATTTTGAACATGCAATAAGATGGCAGAAGAAAAAGATGTGTAAAAACAAACAATTTCAGTGGCACCATCGCTCTGTAAAGCAACTACACAGTTAAGTAAGGTAGATTGCCTATTGGGAAAATACTGAGAAAGCATTTGCCATTCTATTCAGTCGGAAAATAAAACTTATCTTAAGTTAAGTAAGGTAGATTGCCTATTGGGAAAATACTGAGAAAGCATTTGCCATTCTATTCAGTCGGAAAAATAAGAGTTCAGATGCGAATAATCCTATGTTTCCTTCTACCATACACTCTTACTCATGGGGCCCCTTCTTTTGAGCTATGGGAACACTCATGTCCAAGTGGGCTGAAGGGAGCCTCCAATTCTTACACTCTTACTCAATCCAAACAACACAAGCAGTTACTGAGAACAAGATGACAGTTTTCAGATCATAGCCTAGTTAAATGATGTTTACATTAACTAATATTTCATATACTGTCTGTCATAAGCTATTGATATGTCCATCATATCATCTGTATGGGACAGAAAAAAAACAATACCATTTTAGAAGCAAAAATTAAATTTCATTGAAAAACTGATTTAGCACACTTTTGCTTGACATTTTGAGGGCCTATGAAAATGTGCTAGAAACAATAGAAGAATCTAAGCAGTCATGTAATTTTAAGCCAATCATGTCAGTCACATTAAAGAGACACCTCCACTTTTTGATACTAAATCAAGCTGACCTACAAGTTGCAGATTTAGAGATAAATATTCTAACTAGAATAAAATTTTGATTAACTCTTTACCTACTTCTTTAACATCTTACTCTCATGCATCAGGCTTCAGAGACTTAGCTTAATGCACTACCACAATAACCATCACTTCTGATATTTCCAGTATTTTTACTATTTCTCAGCTTTGAAAATTGAAACTACATTTGTGCACCAGTGGCCAAAATTTTAAAATAAAAAATACTATATATAACTTCATTAATTTTAACAAAAGTTCTATAAAGAAATATACCACTGGAAAGATAATTTTATGCATAATATTATGGAGTTTACCATGCTAGATTATCTTCATTACATAAAAAGTTATAACTGAATAAACATATGAAGAAAACAAAACTGTCTTATTTGAAGAAAAGGGACTTCTTCAATTAAAAAAATTGAAAGCCAATTAGGTGTTGCCACAAACTGGACCCAGTAAGATGTCAGCCACATCTTTTGTTACAAGAATTTATAATAAAGAATCTCATTTATTTGTTTAATCATTAATAAACTGATGACTACTTTTTGTGATTTTTTAATAACTACTGTCTTTCACAAATATTTTATTTATGGGAAGAAAATTTTATAACTTGTTTTAGGGAGATAAGCATAGTAAAAACATTCATTAGGATCACCTAGAAAGATATGCAAAGAAATTTCTTTTCATGAAAAGAATATAACTCTATAAGGTACTTTCTCTCTCCTTTATGCATGCCTTTCTGATGTAACTGGATAGCACATCCGACGCGTAACCAGAAGGTCCAGAGTTCGAATCCCAGCGAGAACACTACACATTTTTCATGTCTCTTTTATCAATAAACATAATTCTCATGATTAAATTAAGGGGACAGTTAGTAGAAACGTAATTAAAGGAGAAGCTTCTAAACTTGTGGAATTACTATCAACAGATTCAGCTGAGTGAAAATCAAATTTCTAGAGACAGGAAAAGGTCTTTTGCAAAAAGTAAAAAAACTGTTACTTGAGTGACAGGCAATGTAAATATATCTAAATATTAATGACAGGCTTGTTCCAGATACTATGATTTCAGTGCTGCTTGAGATCACTGTTGTTTACAATTTAATTTCAAAATTTTGTTTTGCGATTAAGTGTTTATCCATGCCCATCTATGGCCTGCTATTAAGTGAACAGCAATTAAAATTATTGTCAAAACTGTCCAGATTAAAAGAGTTTTAATTTATGATAAGTTGCTATTACATTTACGATAATTTACTATTACATTTACTACCAATCAATTTACTGAGATTATAACAGAATTACCAGCATTGAGTTATATTTTAATTTTCCTTTATCAGTGAATCTATTAACTATTTTTATATACTACTAATTCTGTTAGTAATTCTATTATTATATATTCGGTTTTAATCACAGTAAGAAAGAAGTCATTGGTTTTAAAAACATTGAATACAGAATGTTTTTTAATGCTGTAAAACCTTTCATTATAATCACCTCCCTAAAATGATTAGTATTCCTGAGACCATAATTAAAAAATGATATTGAATATGATAATCATGTCTTCTGCTGTGATGTGATATTTTATACATTCTGGGATAGGCTTTTTATTAAACCCATATTCTTTTCATAATTATTACATTTATTATTTACTTTGCATTCATGTTAATATCATTTAAAACTCATCAATAGCTTATTATAGATAATAAGCCACAATGCTCATTAAGTTATGGCTTATTTTACATAATAAGATATAACATAAGGAAGTATTGCTTCCTTTTCTGTTATTCAAATGTCATTCTAAAACCAAATTACAATATTCTGTAAATGAAGTTTAAATTTTGTTCAATAAATTTTGTGATACTGAGAATCAAAAAATGGAAAAATTTCATAAAAAATATAATTCATTAAATTTTCAAAAAATGATTTTTTCTATACCTTTATTTCAGATTATCTCTAACCAATTTAAAATAAACAACATTTGGAATTTCAAATTTGACAATTGCCATTTCAAATGAAAATGGTTAGCAAAAGTTGTTTTTTAATTTAAATGCTACACACTTGTAATCATATTTATCAGCTTTAAAAAGTATTATAATTTCAGGATTTGCTTTCCTGCTGTGGAGTTTCTTTGGAACAACAGATAAATCCCTAGCACGAAGTCTCATGTCAGCAATAGTGGTAGCTGAACTTGCACAAGTATTTGGTGAGTAATTTATTTAATCATATAATGAAAGGAAATTCCAATCAGTTATCATAAATGATATGGGTGGTAAATAATACTTGAAATACAACAATCTTCATAATTCAAGGGAAAAAAAACTACATAAGTATTTCATAAAATTTGAAAAGATAAATAAATAAATGAATAAAAAAATATATATAATCAGTTCTTAATAGTTAAAATAATTAGTAAAATATTCTTGTCAAAATTAGCACATATTAAATTAGCACCTGTCCTAAAAATGTAGTGTCATAATGCATGCTACAAAATACTTAGGTATAGCAAGTTCTTCATATGATCTATAAAGAATTTTATGTTGTTTATGATTTCAGTGAATTCATGACATGAATAACACTGTTAATTTTTAGGAATTTACAAATATTCTGTTTGGTGCTGGGCTCGTACATCTCGCAAAACAAAGGGGGGGTGATTCAAATAAGCTAATTTTAATTCAGTCAATAGCATATACAGAAGGCATTGCCAAACTGTATCTCACCAGGCACATGTGGCTTAAGTATAGCTCACAGTGTATTAAGCAAAGTTATCCAAATTTTAAAATTAAAATATCTATGTAATAATTTCCATATATATGTTGCATATAATTCACTAAAATAATATACAAGATAAATAATTACTCTTCTATGACTTATTGATGGTGAGAAGTTATTAGGGCAAAGAAAAGACAAGGACATCAGCAACAATGTGCATAAAATTAGCTGAACAATGGTATAAATATGTATGTTGTGCATAACTCATCTGGTATTCTGATTCATTGATTTAAAATATAATCTCTACATGACAGATTATGAGAACTTAAAACTATAATTTTGTATGCAAAATAGTGAAACACTCGCAATTTATTTTCACACTTCTGTATTCAGATTTTAACTTATCCATAACTATTTCAATACACACATTGTATTCTTTCTAAAGGAGTACACAAGTTCTTAATAATGAAAAGTTATTGATTCTATTTTTTAAATTACTATCTTTCTTTCACTCAAATTAACAGCATTTTCACCATATACTAGTAACTAGAATATTTTTAAAATTTAAATTCAGTGTGTTTCCTATTAAAAAAAATTCAATAGTCATAGAAAAGTTTGTTTGTATCATATTGATTTATATTTTTGAATATACAACATACAGAGTAAAAACTGCAATTATTTATTTGTACTTAAAAATAATTTATATATGCAAAATCCTTGTTAATTTAATTAAATTTTTTTTATACTCCTGATGAGCTGTTTTACTGTTTTTGAAATGCTGTAAACATCTATTCACAACCCTTAAAATTTATGAATTTCGACATGAAACAAAGAGCGCCATCCAGTCTGCAGAAATAGTTAGCGATGCTGAAGAAGGCATGGATGTTTGCAAGCTCATGGTGTTTGTGTTGCAAAAGGCATTCTAAATACACAGCAAGACAAAAGTTCTCTCAAGAGGTTGGTGGTAGGGAAAGAGGGGTGAGAGACCCTTTGTCTACTTCCCAGGATGTTCTCTCTCAAAATTGAAATGGAACTGCACAGTTTGAGTGGTGGGACTATATTTGTACAACCAATGGTGAAATTCTGATGTCTTACCCACTTCTACCTGTGCCTGACATAAAGATCAAGCCCTGATGTTTAAAGATTAGTTATTTTATCGATATGTATACATTATAATGCATCTATTGTCTCAATTAATGCTTCTTATGCACATCCATTGAGCTCATATTATTTAAGGAGACTGTTGAATATTTTGCTGCTCTAGTTCAGTATGACTAAGCATCCTCATTCTTGAAACATCACATTTTGTTTATTGAACTTGTAAAGTTTATACATAATAATAAACAATGCTGGCTATTTAGGCACAAAGATGTGGCCCATTTTTTGAAATACCATATGGTACCTTCATAACAACTATATCTGCTGCTGCAACTGGAATAACAATATCATTTTTGTATGCAATATTTGTATCTGTGAATAATGCAGACTTGCACGGGTTCTTCAAATGTCTGTATGCAAAACCAGTCACCTGCTACATCACAAAACAATAACATGAGAGTTGCATAAATCGCTAGTCACTAGCATTACACTGCATTCATTAACCATTTTATAATCAGCAGAAGCTAATTAAATATTCTCTTGCGAGAAGAATGCAACTCTTATTATGATTTTAAAAAAGGAACATATTCATGCACTGTCTTCACATGCACATTTAGTTAAGCATAGATATGGATTTTATACAACAACCAAGATTAAGCCTTACCTGGCTGAACTTCCGAAACATGGATGAGAACTCTGGAATTTATTTCCGAGAAGAACTTATTCTGCCATCTTGTGGGGTCTGGACCATCTCAATCTAGTTGCATCTTTATCTGTAGCTTGTCTAGCAAATGATAAAGTTACTCTTTTTTGAGGATAATGAGCACTTGAAATATTAAAAACTTGAGCCAAAATACCAGTTTCTCCACTGCTGTGCAGGGAAAACTAAGCTCTCAGAAGAAAAAGAATATTTTATATATATATTTAGGAACAACAGATTATGAAGATTGTTGTATATTTTATATATATATTTAGGAATAACATATATTATTATTATATATATATATATACTAAAGAAATATTGATTATATTTATCTCCTAAGATTAATTTAGTAGAATTATCTAAAAGAGTGATCCATAAATATTAATTTATTCCGAAAATTGTTTAAAGTAACTTGAATGTAAATTGTTAAAAATGTTTAACGGGGACTTGAATTAAAATCATGAATAACAAAATTTCAATGTAAAAAGAAATTAAAATTAAAAGCAAGTAATCATGCCATGATCCGAAATAGTTGACTTTCAAGGGGAACAAACCCAAAACTCCCGTTCAATGAACAATAATTAAGAAAAAATACGAAGGCGTTTCCTCTTTACCACGTACTAAGGCGATGCCCAAACTGGCAATTTAAGTTAGGAAAATTTCATGAATGAAGGGATCAAGAACCAAGCATGAATGGGAGTTGGTTTGTTCTCCTTGAAAGGTCAACTAATTTCTGATCAATGGCAGTGATTACTTGCTTTTAAAATTACTGCTTTATTTAATTCTTTTTACATTGAATTTTGTTATTCATGATTTAATTCAAGTCCACGTTAAACATTTTTAACATTTACATTCAGGTTACTTTAAAACAATTTTGGAATTTAAATTAAACTATGATTCACTCTTTAGATAATTCTACTAAAATTAATCTTAGGAGATAATATAATCAATATTTCTTTAGTAAATAAATTATTATTAACTTACTTTGCAGCAATTGCGCAAGTAGTAGAATAACTCGATTTCGCACTAAGTGAATTTAAGATACATATATATATATATATGGTCAGCATTTCATATTCACTGCCTTTTAGCACTGTCTGTACTGCCCTCACATGGTATACTTTTCAATAAAAATACATAGATCATAATTTTCAAAATGGTTACTTAACTTTTCAATATTTATATTCAAATAGTAATAAGGAAAGGAGCAATGTTTTAAATATACATATAATATTATTATAATTAAAAATTAAGCATAAAATAATTAATAGCAAAGTTTTCAAATTATGATAACTAAAAACACAAAAACTTATTACATTTAAATAAATGTTTCATTTTTTTCTTAATCTTTTCTTAAATTTTCACTTCTAGCTGTTCTGAACTTCGCATTCCAGAGCAATACATGGGACAATAACATACGCACTGACATCTCAATACGAATATTCCTACTGCTAGGCAGTGCCTATTTCTTCTGGGCAATTGGTTCTAGTCGTGCTGGATTGCGTAAATCTCTTTCTAATAGAGATCTTTCACAGCCTACACCAGATGATCAGCACTCTAGTCCATCGAGTCCATCTGCAAAACGACCAACATCAGAAGATAAAAAGAATGAGTAGCATTTCCAAAATCCACAATTTATTGTGAAACAGCTTCCAAAATAGAAGCTTTTGATTCTCTTTTCCATTAAAAGAACACTGATGTTATTCCTTCTTAGAGGATATTCATTGTTTTCTATAAATAAATAACAGAAAGTTGTATGCATACTTAATGATATTAATAAAATAAATCTTGACCAGGTCACAGCATCAATAAAATAATAAACTGATTATTCAAATATTCCTTTCAATTTTGAATCATCAAGCAAGATTAAATTTTAATATAGTTCTAAGGTTTTAAATATTACAAACAAAATACTGGATTGCATACTTCAAGATCAAGGATCTTGCATATTAAAAAATATCAGAATTACATCCAGGAAGAAACATTAAATACACACATATACACACATTCCTAAAAGAAAAAAAAAAAAAAAAAAAAAAAAACTAGAAACCTAAAATTTTCTTTCCTCTCTCTTTTTCTTTGTATAATGAATAAATGTTTCCAATTATAAAATAAAAATTTGTTTCTTAATACAAAATATATGAAACAGAATACCAATTATAAAAATAAATATCTACAATATTGTTAAAACATAAGATGACGATTAAAGATTTAAAATGTGGCAACACAGTGTAGTTTTATTGCATGAGTTGTAAAGATGAGAATGAAAAGTTCTTCATTACCTAAATTCAGATATGGAACAATCTGTTTGTGCTTTCTTAGGAAATCTCGATCTTTTACAGCAGAAGTTTGACGGAGGGAGCACTGTCAAACTCTGCTGAATTTATTTTGTGGAAATAAAACCAGAATATCACGTATATGCAATATTTTCAGCACTTACGGCAAGTGACTTCAGCTACCATTGCAACTATAATTTAATTACTTAAAAGACAATCAAATACTATATTGTCTTGTGGTTTGCAAAAATTCTAATGTGTTTTTACAATTCAGGCATTCTTATTCAATAGCCTTGTGCATAAATTTACTTTTTTTTTTAAAAAACCATTCACTTCAATCTTCACTGAATTTGTTTAGACGTTTCAGATAACTACATTATTTATATTTTCTTATTCATCTTATCTATGAAATTTATTATGTAAGAAATTTCAAATTTTTTCAATAAATTTCTTTCCCCCCCACACACACCTCCAATAAGGATACACTCTTTGTCTTCCACTTGATAGTTTCCTTTCTCACACTTTGGCTACAATTTAAAAAGTTCAATTCTATATATGTAAGATTTTTTTTTTAAAAAAGTTCTTATAATGCAACATGATTAATTACATTAATTGATTACCACCTATTTTAGGAATTAAATGTAATAATCCACATCAATATATAAATAGTAGTTATGTTGATGACTAATTGAAAATTTTTAAATAATTGGAATTCACTAACATGCTAACTAGAATCACTTTTGAATAATGTGGCATTTATGCAGAGATGCAATGCTATATTTATACGATCCAACTACTACTCTATCATTTAAATAAATAAATTAAAACATAAACTATGATGTGGGGGAAAAAAAGGTGAATTACATTCAGTGCATTTATTTTCATTCATGTTAATTCAATCAAATATTTCATATTGTAATGAAGTTCTGTTCTGAGCATGAGATGATTATTGATGCAGTTATGCAGTAAAGAATATCAAGTCTTTCCGTCATTTATTCGCAATTAAATTTTTTAAGATCGAGATTATTAGTGTCTTGCATCAAATAATCTAACCAGGGTTTGTACAGTCCTTAAGAGTCCTCAAGTTTTTTGGAATCGATTTTTGGTCCTTAAAATTCCTTAATCATCTGAAATTTCTGTCTGTTTTTACGACTGCCATTTTGGATGTGAATTAGCATTTTGCACGAATATTTTTGGCGATTCACTGACATATATGGCTATTTTTTGAATGGGTTCATGAGTTATAATTTGTTGCTATTTGTAATATAAATAATGGTGGGATACTCAACTTTCTGAGCCAGAAGTGAAACATAAGCATTTCAAAATTATTTCATTTTTTGGAATGAAAAGCTTTTAAACAACTTTCCGCTTTTGGGGATGCGAATTCTTTTATTAAACGGTTCTAAATTTGGTGATTATCAAATTTTGGCGATTTTAAGATCGGTTTCTATAGAAAATTTTTAATTTCGAGATCTGGGAATTTTTTGACGATTTTTTAGAACATTCTAACATTGTTAAATTCATTAATATGATGCAATATATTGAACTATATTTAAGAATATATCTAAGAAATTTTAATCGAGATCTGGGAATTTTTGACGATTTTTTTAGAACATTTTAACATTGTTAAATTTCATTAAAATAATGGCAATATATTGGAACTTATTTAAGAATAACATTAAAATAAAGCATTTTATTTTCACTGACATATTATAAAGTTCCATTTGGCCACATATTATACAATTTTGAATCTGAAAATAAGCAAGGAATATGCTAAAAGCACAGTTTACGGAACAATTTTTAGCAAAAGCAAAATAGCTATGTAATTAATAAAAATGTCTTTTAATTTTTCATGTAGAATTTTCCCATCTCTCAGAATAATCAGAATTCTCAGAAAATGCCTCAGTTTTCTCTATAAATTAATTTCACACTTTTCCTCCGATTTTTTAAAAACACTTCTGGCTTTTTCTGTTACAGAATTGGTAGGGGTAATTTTTCTTTAGGATTTTGACATTGAAGCTTGGAAAGTTTAGAAAGATTTTAAGGCAAATTTATAGACCCACGATTCTAAAGATTCCAGAAAAAAATGTCTCATGGAGTAAACACGCAGTTTCTTACATTTGGAGAAAATCTGGGAAGAACAATGAAAACATATTAGTTGAATGTTTTACTTGATCTAGAATCACTTTCTTAACATTTTATCTTCCCTTTATTTTCTCTACTTTTCACTAGATACGAGCATGGAATATATCAAAAGTACTTCTAATCTTATCATATGGACAGGCATTATAGAAAGGAATTTTTTTATTAATAAAGAAATTGAAAACTGACAATTCAAAAGATTCATCTAATCTTAATGCATCATACACAGAGCTGGTGCTAGGCATTTTGACACCTGACACAGTCTCTGTGGATCCTAAATTCTGCTGCTTGGTGCCTTTCTAAATTCTGCTTCCAATGCCTGCTCAAAATTCTAGAAGTTTTGCCATTTCTAGATTTTGTTGTTCAGTGTGTCCCTAAATTTTAAAAACTATGCCACACCAGCTCTGTGACCAGACTTTACCATATGTATTTCATATTTCTTCTGAATGTTCGTATAACTAAAAAAATAAAATTAGAAGCTTTTTCCGTACATTCTAAATGCATTTAGTCTTTTAGAATAATAGAAGTCTTTAATTAAATCTCAAAAATTTTAAGTGAAAAGGAAACGTGTTGAAAAAAGAAACTAAATATATAAAGAGAAAGAAAATAATTCTTCAAAGATATGTACAGTTATTATTATGTAAATTACCCAGCTATTTAAAGTTTCAGCCTTCACTATAATTTATTTCCTCACCAGAATGCAAATTACTCAGAGTTTTTAAATTGAGGTTTTTGGAGTGTTAAGACGAGGTGTTTCTGACCTCCCTGCTCCCTGCATTAGTTCTGTCAACTCTGATAATTTGTATTAGTCTTTCCATACTGCTGCTGACATTTGCGTTTATTATGACAATAGAGTTACTGAACCAGATTAATTCAATTAAATTGTATAGTCTTTGACCACTAGTCATATTTTAGTTTGAATTTGACTCTCTTGTTTAATTAATCACCACAAAACTGTAACGACTTTGTAGCATAAGACTGGCCTATGTATCCAGTTCTTTTTGAATAAGAAGCTTATTTAAACCTTTATTTAATTTATTATCTGATTTATACTTACTTTCAGACATAGTGATAATTTGTTTCACGTCCGTAGGGGGGAAGACTATTTAACTTTTAACAGATCAAGTAAACCCTCATCGGTTGTACAGTCAAAAATCGTTAATTCAGACACCCATAATCCGGAATGATCTATAATCCAGACCTCAAAGCTACAAACTTTCTGCGCATGCGTCGACTTTACGGCTGCGAATATGCGTCTGCGCATGCGCGTTTAATGTATAACAGATGGTATAAGCTAAGCTAAAATTATCTAATTCAGTTAATGTTGCAGATTGCGTTGTTCCTTAATCTTCGAATTGGATCTGGCTTATTAATTTTTGCAGGCTGTTAGAGCAATTTTATAAAAGTAAGCTTGAACTTTCGATTATGTCAAAATAGAATTTCCGATATATGTTTACTAATATGTAAAGGATCTGCAAAGCGAAAGTATGTTTCGAAGTCAATTAAACAAAAAGTGGAATTGCTGCAAAATATGGATAAATGCATAATCCTTTGTTTATCTAACCATTCCGAAATCTGTTTATCAATTTCACGCTGCTCTGCGGCGGGAGGGGGGAAACGGCGCGGTGCACGATGAATTGGAAGTTGATCTGTCAGCACTATCCTTATCTTCAGGGCAGATGTTTTTATTTTACTTGGCTTGTAATTCCTTACTAAATGTAGTATTTCATCTCGATATACTCCATCTTTGATATGATTTAAATCAAATTCCTCGTCATTATAATTTGCTTCCGACAGCGAAGAAAGTGACACAGAGATTATTGAAAACGAAAAAATTTCGATTGACAAATTAGTCAGTATTTTCGACACAGCAATTATAGGACAACAGCGGAACTTTGTAACTGAAGAAGAAATTATGTCTGTTTATAGAATTAAAGAGAAAGTATTATCACATAAAACGAAGCAACTTAAACAACTTACATTGAAAGAAATGTTTAATAAAGTAAACAAATAAATATTAAGCTTTTTTTTTTGTTTTTTGTAAATTTTGATTTACCCTTTAGATCATAATTGTTCTTTATTTCATAAAATGGTTTCATATTTTAAATTTATAATTTCTGCATGCCATCTTACCAGATTTAAACTGATGATCTATAATCCAGAAAAATCGATATCCGGAATCGCGAAGTCCCGACGAGCCCGGATAAGACTTTGACTGTACGTTGTGGAGTGGTTGCAGTTAGGAGATAAAAAACACGCAGACTAATGAGAACATTGTTGCACATTGAGACAAATTTCTAATTGTAGAAACATTCTTAAGGAGAAGGAATTATAAATTAGCCAAAATGTCTGGGCAGGCCTTCAAATTAAAAAAGACGCATAATTATTTTTTGAATTTTATGTTGCAGCTTTTAATGGCAATATCCTAATATTGTTTAAAATCATGTCATAAATTTATGTATTTTAAACGGAAATTTTTGAGATTGTAATATTAATAGGGTTTTTTTAACAAATTATTAAAAATAAATTTAATTTAATAGTGGCCATGTAAATCTATAATGACTAAGGTTATCTAATACCTAATTTAATTATAACTAAATGCATTCTCTTAAAAATTATCTCTCTATATTAAAGCAAGCTATTGCCTTTCGTTAATGCGCTGATCTCGGCGTCAGTCCCTGGGAACTGGCACTGGAATTTTCGTTTGGCTGGCGTCGGTCCTCGGGACCGACAGTGCTAAAGTTAAAAAATAAGTATAGTCTCAATGAAATGTGATCAAATGTAGTTTTAATGAAGCTTTACACATATTACAATACGAAACAACTATTTTGGTAACACTTTTGGCTATCTTGCATCCAAATAGTTTTGAACTGTCATCATAACATTTCGAACAATACTTTCGGACTTTATGTGCATCTCCTTCCTTGTATAATTTAAGTTGGCAATATTGCCGCCGGCTCAACAGAAAGGACAGCAAATTTGGCACCGGGCTCAGTGTGTTAAACCTTTACCGTGGTCACAAGTTAAAACACAAAAATATAAATTCATTGAAACTTATCTTTGCATTAGTGAGACTTAATGCAAAAACAACTTATCACCGCTTATGCTTTAGTGGCTTAATAGAACCTTAAGTATATTAAATGAGTTATCTGGAAATCTACACGAAGCATGACACTAACAGTGTCAGACAGAGGTCAGCTAACTTTCAAAACTTGCTAAGTGTGCCTACATCAGGCCTTTCAGGTTTGTTCTGATCAGCAGATCTCTCTATAGGCGAGCAGGAGTGGTGACAACAGCCAGTCTTTTGTTATGAATTATATTCATAGGTCCTTCATTTTTTTCATTAATGGTCCTTAAAAGTACTTAATTTCCTTCTACAGAAATGTGTATGAACCCTGTTAACAGAACAAATTTTACAAACAAAAATTTAATTAAAAGACAAGTTTAAATATTTTTTCAGAAATTCTCAATTCTCAAGTTGTAAAAACAATACTTTATTACCATACCATAAATTGCTTTCCAAATTACAGTTTTCATACACTACATGGCACAACGTGTTACAAAATATAGTAGTATGTTTTATGTCACATTACAAAAACTATCTCACAAAAGAAATATATTAAAAAAAAAAAACTAATAGGACTTTATTCACTATTTACTTTACAAGACTAGATCAGATGTCATCTAAATTTTGCAGTTGATACTATAATTATTTTATGGCAAAGTGTAAATGATTTTTAAAATAAGTACAAATGAACTATTTTATTACCAGATGTTAGACAATAACTTAAGTGTTAAAAAATTAGACATTATAAATATGAAAAGCAAATTTTAACAAATACTTAAAAAAAAAGCATTCAAAATAAAATACATTAATAAAAATTAAATGGAGTAACAAACAACACTAATACAACCATTTTAACAGCATAATAATTTTAACATCATTATAAATTTTAAAAATAAAGCTTACATATAGGCCTTTCTATCAACTGAAGAAAAATTCAAATGGGAACAAAAATATCAAAATTTTCAAATAGAAAGAAAAACGGGGATTGCAATCTGCAAAATGTATTTATAATTTAATCTAAAAGCAACATCAGTTGAAATCACTAAGCCATGATATGAAGTGCTTGTGTATTCAATACTGTACTACACATACAAACATGTACATTTTTTTTGTACCCAGTTGGTCAAGTCCTTTTTAACTTGTTGGAAAGTTTAATATCCTTACGGTGAAGGCATACATTTCAGCCTTTCAAAAGCAGCTTTCTCCAGAGCTTCACGATGCTTAGGATGAGCGATTTGAATGAGATGGTACGCACGCTGTCTAATGTTTTTGCCGAAAAGATCAGCAATGCCATGTTCCGTAACAAGATAATGAATATGAGAACGAGATGTTACCACTCCACCACCTAACAAAAGAAAATGCATATATATATCATGCAGTATGCAACTGTAAACATTTTCAATAAAAATTTCTAGAAGTTATGCGAGCCAGTAATAAGTAATTTTTGTTCTAGAATAGGCAAAATTTTTAAGACTTATTTATCCATACTGACTGCAATGAATACAACATTAAACACTAAAAAAAAAAAAAAAAGCAATTTATGAAGTAGAATTTATTTTCTATACATATTTACAAATAAATTCTAAATTTTCATTTTATTAATATTTTCAATAAATATATGGATAATAACTGGATTCGACAGCTGGTGAATGGCTGCAATCTGCAGTCATTTTATATATATATATATATATATATATACACAGTTTCACAAAATTTAGCATTGTACAGCAACTTTGGGGGACCTAAAAATTGAACCAAATGAATTATTTGGTTGCCAGATTGGTTTTCATTAGCCTGCTGGATTACAATTCTGTAGGGAAAAAAATTATTACATAGAGTTGTTGAAATCAATCATTTGTGTCTGACAATGTTGGCAGCAGAGTCACCATTGTGTAAAGCAAACCAGATGAATGAATGACATAAAATTTTCAAAGAAAATGTAAGCCTTTACATGGGGAAATATGGCATACTTGCAAATAAATTTTTTAAACAAAAGTATAACACGTTATAAAAATTATAATATATTCTGATCAAAGAAGCAAATTTATTTTATTACTTAAGATCTATTTAGCATTTTCAGCATATTTCAGCATTATTTTTTTAATCATAAGCACAAAGAAAAATCTTGCCAAATTTTTCATTTTAGATAAATCCTTACTTTTAGATATATATTCAACTGTCTTTTAACACTGAATTATATAGATTACATGTACACAGAATTCATTTGTCTATGACTTTTCAAAGTTTTTGTTTCAACTTAAATGCACAATTAATCTCCTCATCTTGCAAGGTGAAAACTTCTTTGCAGTGATGATAAATAGGGAAAGATTCTTAAAACTATCACTTGTAGTGACCTTTTTGACATAGAAAATTGAAAATAAGGCAATGGTATTAAATATAGAAAATATGACAAAGGAAAACTAAAGAACAGAGAAATTTTCTTCTAATAAATCCAGAATTTCAGTAGTAGCACTTTTATGTTAATTACTTGCATTGTTATTATAGTCCATTTAATAACAGTGCAAATAATTCACTTGCATAGAATAGAATATAATGCAGAATTAAGATAGGGATCCATTTTAGAGAAAACTTTACTACAATTATTTTTATAAACAATGAATTTATTTATTTGTTTTCATACTTCTCAATTAAATTGTCACTCTGGTTAATCACAGTAAATGTCAAATTTGATAACCCATTCTGCAACATACAATTTTGAAACATTACCAAAGGCTTATGCAATGGCTACTAGTACTTTTATTTATTTTTTTATTATTTTTATTTATTTATTTTTATTTTTATTTATTTATTTATATATATATATATTTTTGTTATTTAAAAAGGTACAAATTACTTTAAGAGTGACGTTACTCATCCATATTGCATTTTCCCTTGCAATGACATTACTTTCTTTCTATATAATTATATTTAAAAGACTATCATCTTCAACAAATCTTGATTAAATAATTCTTAGAATATACAAATAATACAGTGGATTCAAATTTAACATAAAAATTAGAGAGAAAATATGTACCAAATTCAAGAAGACATATAATCCACACAATCTGCAGTCTCAGGGTGTGCAGATTATCAAAATTTTATTGTACTTTTAATCAAAATAAATCAAATAGCTGCTAACCTTCTCACAAGATTTTCAGTAATGGGTGGAATGTTTGATAAGGCAACTCGAATACAAATTTTTATTCATTCGTAATCAAAGCAATATCAAAAACCACATTTTAATTTTTCATTTTAGAAAATTCTACTTCCAAATTTTTGAAAAATGCCTATTCAAATATTTGTATAAATGCCAGTTTAATACTTGTAAAACATCATTTTAATGAATACATTATAGTTCTTGCTGATGCCAATGAGAGTTCAGTTATAAAACAAAATCAACAGCATTTAAAGGAATCTTGCTAAAATAGTTAAGTTCTCACTGCTCGATAAAAAGCATATGCAGATTATGGGAATTTACAAGAGTGACAGAAACTCGCTTGAAATTATATGGCAGAATTATGTTGCAATACAAGCTTGTTTCTTTGTAAGCAACTGTTTTTTTCTTCCCTGCAATTTATTTGAATCTTACTTAGCACTGGCAATAACAGAGGTTTCTAATTAGTTGACCACTGAAAAAACAAAACTGCACAAAAGGAAGCAGTGATTACATGCTTCTGATAAAATGTATTTTCCCAAAGTTGAATGCAATATGTGATCTCTGTGAAAAAAGCCTTCAGATTGATTTGCCCTCTCAATACTTCAAATTTAAATTATTTTTCTTTGGCGCAGTTATTATGGTTTTGAATTGATAAAAAACCTAAATGGGTTTTGACAGAATTTGTGAACAAGATCATTAATACAACTGAAAGGAATAACAAATTCAGAGATTTTGACTCTTGCAATGCAAAATTTTGAAACAGCTTTAAAAATTATGAACCAAGCGTCACTATTTCATAAACTTATTTTTATCAAATACGAGGGCCATCCAGGAAGTAGATTACGTTTCCGTCTGTGTCCGCTAGGGGCGGGGCTAGCGCGGCCATCTTGGGGTCAGAGCGTTGCGCAGCTCAGTCTGCATCTAGCCGTGCTAGTGAGAGGTTCGTGCTGTGCTCCGTTCAGATACTGTGACGGTTTGAAATGTCTGCGTTAATTGAAAATCCCGCGAGGTGCGCTCAGTAATAAGGTTTCTGACTGCAAAAAACTGTAAACCGATAGAAATCTATCGGCAGCTTCGTGAAGTGTATGGGGACAACATTATCACTGAAGGTGGAGTGCGTCCAGTGGGTCATAAGATTTCAAATGGCCGAACCAATGTTCACGAAGATCGAAGTGGGAGACCCAGCATAGTGACCGCCGAAATTCTCGAAAAAGTCGATGCTAAAGTCCTGTGAAAATCGAAATTTCACAATAACGGAACTGTCTTTGAGTTTTCCACAAATTTCGCGAAGTTTGTTGCACGAAATCATCAGCGAAAAGCTTGGTTACCACAAGTTTTGTGCAAGATGGATTCCAAAAATCTTGACAGAGGACCACAAAAATCAGCAAATGGCTGCAGCGTTGAACTTTTTGGACGCTTACCATAAGGATGGTGACTCTTTACTCGATCGCATCATTACTGTTGACGAAAACATGGGTGAAACATGTGAACTGTGAAACGAAATTGCAATCATGCAGTGGGGGCACACAAGTTCTCCCCAAAAACCCAAGAAATGCATGCAAACAATGTCAGCAAGGAAGATGATGGCGACTGTTTTTTGGGACAGAAAAGGTGTAATTTTTGGTGGACTTCCTGGAAAGAGGCACTACAATAAACTCTCAAAGGTATTGCCAAACTCTCCAAAAACTCAGAAGAGCAATTCAAAAACAAGCGCAGAGGAATGTTGAGCTCTAAGATCTTGTTGATTCACGACAACGCCCGGCCCCACACGGCAAATGTCACTCGTAAAGTTCTTGAATCTTTTAAGTGGGAGTTGTTTCCTCATCCGCCGTACAGTCCCGACCTGGCACCTAGCGACTTCCACCTATTCCCAGCAATGAAGAAGTGGCTGGCTATGCAGCGTTTTGATGACGACGCACAGCTGCAAGAAGAGGTAATGAAGTGGTTGAAGGCGCAGGCGGCTGAATTTTTCGACGAAGGAATTTCCAAGCTCGTACATTGCTACGATAAATGCCTTAATTTGTATGGTGACTATGTAGAAAAGTAGTATTTGAGTGTGGCTTTCATCTGTATATAATAAAATTTGTTTCCTATACTTTGTTTATTTTTTTATTCCAAAACGTAATCTACTTTCTGGATAGCCCTCGTACTAAGACAAAAATTCTCTTTTTCAATCTTAATGCACCATTTTAATTAATTATAAAGGAATTCTGATAGATAAAACTCCTAGCATGAGCAACAGATATAGAACTATTATTTTATTTATACACTTAACATTTTTAAACATTTAAAGCCCCTATTAAAGTTCAACTTTTAAATCTTTAGATTTCCAATAACAGTTTTCCTGACCATACATGTTGAGCTAGTTATCAGACTAAGCATAAAGAATGGTAATTTTATACATTTACTAACAACATTATAAAAAAAGTCTAATTTATCTCACCAACTATGATGAAAATATAAGAACTATATGCAGTAAATATGCATTTAAACCATTAAAAAATACCGGTTTTTGAAACAGAAATATATAGTATGGTACATAATTATGGTGCCTTCTCACACATACCCAATTCAAAATATAATTAATAAATTATAAAATAAAAATTAATTTATTTACTTTTCAGAAGTTTTCTTTTACTTTTTGTTAACTGCTTGATAATAATTTGCTTACATATTTAGAAATAAGGCATTCAATCTGCTTTGTTAGATAATTATTCTGCAGTAATTTTTTTAATATATTACGAAAATTAACATTAAGCTGAGCAGGTTATGACCACATATTCAAAATACACAAAATCATCTGTAAAGTTTCACTCAATTTTGTCTTCCCTAAAAATTTCATACAGTATAATTGAATCTTTTTTACACCTTTTTATTATTAAACATAGAATACACACATGAGTAAACTACTACAATACAATTCAAGAAACCAGTTACATCATGAGAAAGATTATATCCTCCGAGTAAGCATTAATCAACTTTTTACCACAATAGGTTTCAATTTTTGTGCATAATGAAGTGATATTACATAGCACATCACTTTGAAAAGAAAATCATTACTTGCATCTTCTATTACATATTTTGCCTCTTTTCATCTATTTCATGTTTGTCAACTACTGTGTAAAAGATAGTGATATGAAGTTTATATCTCGCATTTACAAATATTTTCAGTACATTTCCAACATTAGGAACATTTTTTCTAACAGTAAGCAAGTGTGATCTGCCTTGTAATGAACATCAAATAGTACTTCCTCTGTAGCTTCTTTACATAATTCAAACTCATCTTAGGAAATGCTCAGTTAATGATCAATACATATCTATGCATGTGTTTAAGGTCCAGATCCTTATTCTGCAGAACTTGGCTTATTCTAAGAAAATTTTGCAAAAGCTCATCCATAAATTCAAACCATAAACAAATTTCATATGTCTGTATATATATATATATATATGCAATTTTTGAAAACAAAAAGCATCTGTAGTACGTTCTTTCTAATCTGGGAAAGAATTGTTCTGTATTATGTTACTTCACTGAAATCATTTATCATCCTTGCAGTTTAGCAAGTATTTTAATTCCAAGAGCTGTAAGATATTTAATTAAATTTCCAAGCAGCCTGACAAATAATCAGTTTTCAGAGCGTTACCATTCAAGTAGCATGTTATACATTCAAGACTGCATAATCACTGATCTTTCAAATTATAACTATCTGCTTGATAATTATGAGAAATTAATTCTCATAATTATCAAGCAGTAATAATTGTACTTTGTAAAAATTTATGCACTCCTAACAATTTATACCCTTAGGTTTTAATAATAGACTTAATTTACATAAAATTAATACCAGTCAAATGATAATTTTCAAGTACATGTGCATCTTATTACAATTATTAAAATATGTCTTATTATAATTATTAAAATATGTTTTTAATGCTGTATATTACAAAATAAATATTTAGTTTTTAAATGTCATTCATTTACTACTAGAGATCCCCAATTTTTTTTAACATAATTCAGCTGCATCATTTGCAAGTTTCGCATTATGAATCCACGATAAAATCAGCAACAAAAGCTTTAAGATGTGATCCCTTTTCTTAATGCCTTAAGCATGTGCTCACTTTGTTTAATGGTCAATTTAACCTCATTTACAGGTCTGTAAAATGTATAACATGCTACTTGATGAAAATTAAAAGTTCTTAAATAACTAAAATGCTGCTTGAAAGAAAATTCTTTCACAAATATAAAATATGCGAGTTAAAAATTTATTCCAGCAACACACTAATTATTTTTTACATGGAATTGAATAAAAAGTAAAAATTTGATACACACCTTGCTTAATGAATGGTACAATCTTTGATTCCCCTTTGCTTGTACAAGAAGGCATTGCTAAAATAGGCTTTCCTTTTCCATCTTTTCCCATAGCAGCACCTCGAAGAAAATCAATTTGACCTCCAACACCTATAATAGTTTTTGTAGACTTATTGCAATTATATTACATAACCATGCTTATTAAAATACAATTCATATTGCAAACTATTGAAATATGAAAACTAAAGTCACTGTTGATGTGACTCTTAAGATTTCAAAAAAATTTTTATATTCTAATGTGTTCAGAAGAACATGCAATTTAATATACATTTGGAACAAGTAAATTATAATTTAAAAAAAAACTTGCATGTTTGTAATTATGTTTCACCCTTTAAGGGCATCTATACAACAAACATTTCAGGCTTTTTCTTACTAGTTTACAGTAAAAGAAATGATCCTGTAACAAAAGTATTTCCAGACTAATTTCACATGATCCAAGAAAAACTTTCATTAAACTACAGGTCATTTTACATACCTTTAACTCCTAATAATCTACTGAGTGAAACATTTCTATAAAGAAAATTTAACATATGCAACTATCATATAAATATTAAGATTGCACACAAGAACATATATGGCTTCTGATTACTCTAACAAGTGCCATTTTTACAAGATATTAATACACTGTTTCTTCAAAATCACCAAATATATTGTTCTACTCATTTAATAACAAAATACATTTAATTTTGTTCTTTCTATAAAAATGTACATTTTGGGGTAACTTATATTTTTAGTTTTAAATTATTTTAATGCAATAACTCTTCTATGTACAATAATTCAGAAATTTAAAATATTTAAATAAAATAACTGCAATATCAGATAAAGTAATACAAGTAATTAAGGGTTAAATAGTATAAAACACACGAGTTGTTTTATTCCTCATTAAAAAACTTTGCAGTCATAATTTATAAAATCGATAAATACAAAAACTATAACCATACAGTCTCAACTATGATTTGGTAAAAAAGATGTTGGCTACATTAAATCTCACAAGATGGTAAGACTACAGTATACTTCAATAATAGAGTTTTATTAATTTGTGAAAATTCTACTTTAAAAGAAAACAAGCATAGAAATGTATGTGTTTCAGCTTAGAAACTGAAAAATGCATACAAATACGGTGAGAAAGCTATCACATTATCTCTTTTCGTCACACTAACAAGAATAAGAATAGGCTATTATGAGATAAATTTGTCAAAATGATATATATTGAAAGTTGTATACATAACAAATATTAGAATGTATTTCAAAAAGCTGGAACACTGATATCTCTAGTAAAAGTCTAGTAAGTTTACACATGATTGCAGGCATTGAAACTCACAACAAAGTAACAGTTTTTTTATAAGGTGTTTAACTTGATTTGATAATTGTTGAGAAAGGCTGTGTTTCTATGAAAATGAATTACTCTAAAAATTATTACCTGAATAAATTCTAGTTCCAATGGAATCTGAGCATACTTGTCCAGTTAAATCAACTTCAATACATGAGTTGATAGCAGTCATTTTAGGATTTATGGCAATGTTGTCAGAATGGTTCACATAGTCCACATTCAGCATAACTAAGAAAGGAAAGAAAATACAGTCAAAAGTAGTTAATCCGGATTCGTCGGGACTTCGGCGATTCCGGATTATAGATCATCAGTTTAAATCTGGTAAGATGGCATGCAGAAATTATAAAATTAAATTACATGAAATGAGGTTATATGAAACTGTAATTTATGAAATAAAGAACAATTATGATCTAATGGGTATCAAAATTTACAAAAAAAGCATAATATTTATTTGTTTACTTTATTAAACATTTCTTTCAATGTATTTTCTTTAATTCTATAAGCAGACATAATTTCTTCTTCAGTTACAAAGTTCCACTGTTCAAGTCCTATAATTGCTGTGTCGAGAATACCGACTAATTTGTCAATCGAAATTTTTTCGTTTTCAATAACCTCTGTGACACTTTCTTCACTATCGGAAGCGAATTATAATGACGAGGAATTTGACTTAAATCATATTAAAGACAGAGTACATCGAGATGAAATACTACATTTAGTTAGGAATTATAAGCCAAATAAAATAAAAACATCTGCCCTGAAGATAAGGATAGTGCTGACAGATCAACTTCCAATTCATTGCGTGCCACATTCATTAAATACTCTTTGCAATGGTATTACATAGTAGGTCTCATATGATAGTCAAAATGTGAGAAAATTTGGTCTTATAAATACATTTTCAATGCAGTTATCTAAAATATATATTTCCCCTAACAGCTCATCAGTATTAATTTCCATTTGACATCCTTTGCCAAGTAATTTGTTTTTGTGTTTCAAAATATTTCAAACTTTTTCAGAATCATTTTATGATATTTTTCCAAGTAACAAAACATTTCCATAGGTCTTTGAAACTCAGCACACACAAAAAAAAAATAAAATTAGTTTTATTTTTAAATTCATCTGGAATTTAACCCTTTGCAAAGGTTTGAAGTATTTTTAAATCTAGTCAAAAGTTACATTTCTGTCTGTTAACTCATATTCCTACAAGTATGATTAAAAATCATAATAACAAATAACAAACATAATAAATGTTTTTTTCATGAAACAATCTATACAAACATTCAAATAAACATTCTTAGAGACAATAAAAATTAGACAGTATGCACTGCTAGCACTACACTTGCTTTAGAATGATCATTTGATAATGATCGGTAATACACTTGCTCTACAATGAGCAAGTGAATTACCGATTATTACCGAATGATGATTTATTTGGAGCAAGTGTATTACAGATCATTACCGAATGATAATTTATTTGGAATAATACAGTGGTAAAGATACATGAGTTTCTGAACTTCATAAAATATTTAAAATATTAATTATTTTTACATTAATATAATCTAATTCTTGTGTTTTAACATATTCATCAGTATTAGCTTTGTTCTCACCACACATAACAAGAATAAAAATCAAAATTTGAAAAAACTCATATTCATTATTTACAAGTGAATAAAGAAATGTCTACTCTGATGTGATGAAACTAAGAAGTTAATATTGCAGTTTTGCAATACAATTTATATAGAAAAAAAAGTGAAATACGTTTGTGTCCTCAAAAATGTTTTTTAGGGTTTCATAATCATAACATTCTAAAGACAACATACATTATTAATTTGATGCAGACACCAGTTAGAAATAGAATGACAGGAGGAGGAGGAGAAAGATGCTTATGTACTACATACCATATTTTTGATTGAAAATAAGAGCCTTTAAATTATCTACATGTTAATATTACAACACAATTTTACAAAACTTACAATTTATTTTAACACATACACATCAGGCCACCTCCTCCCAAAAAATTGAAAGACAGTGACAAAATCTTACATTTGTGAGAATGACTTGATGATTTTGATACATCAAGAAGAAAAAGAACAACCTAAAGATTTTGCAGTGCTACTTTGGTAGACGGTTGCACAGATTTTTGGTGATTTACTTTGGCGCAATCATTGGCACGGTTTTTACAATAGTCAGCCATCTTGAAAAATGCTGTTTTTACGTATTTTACTCATAGTAAAATATTCGAAACTCTAAAAAAAAATAAATATCATTAAACATAATGGATTAATTTTTTGTTGAAAATGTTGTTTTTTAAGATGGCTGGCCAATGTAAATAAATACATTTACTACGAGTATAAAATACTAAAGTTAGGTTAAATTATTATTTTCATATAGCAAAGAAATAGAATAAAAACACCACTATAAAAACATTGCAGCAATGTTTAATTGGATTAAAATATTATTTAAATTGAATATTGAATTAAAAACCATCATACTAATGTTTAAAAGAAATAAAATATTACTTAAATTCAAATTCCTTAAAATAAGTAAATAAGAATGCTTCATACACTAGAGCTAAAATGACAGCAATTAGAAGTTTACTGCCGGTAAAAAAAGGAGGAATGTCTAATACTTTTTTTACCGTTACAGCGGTTATTTCTTGCAACGTGACTACAATACCATATACGGCCGTCCTCAGAATCGGCTCTTTTAATGATCTTCATCTGTGATCCATATTTCTCGCACTTCATTGAAGAAGCAGTTAGCGAGGTTTCCTCCAAAAATTTTTAATAAATTTCCTCTGACCCTTGTAACAATTTATATATAAATCTTTGATTAGGAAAGTCAGGTTGGCCAAAATAAGGTCTCAAAGGACAATTTTTTGATTCCGATACCAATAATTCTTCATACTTACCAATAAAAACATTATTCTTTGACAGGGACATATCCGTTCACTATGAAATCTAAGGAATTCGAAGAGATGAATAATAAAATTTCAATATGGCGCAGTAATACACAAATATTCAGTAACCAATCAGGGAGCTGATTACAAATCGTTAATACACAAAAATTCTGTAACCAATCAGGGAGCTGATCACGTCACACACAGAATTAAAATTATTTAAATAATCATACATAATAAAATTATTTTTCAAAAAATTCAAAATTAAATTGTATTTTAATTTTTAAAACATTTCATTAAATTTATAGATATTAAAACCAATTACTTTTAAAACAAGGTGATGCCATTGATTACATCATCCACAACATAAAATTATATAAAATATCATAAACAATAAAATTTTTATTTCAAATAAAAATGCAAAATTAAATTGATTTTTAATATTTAGAAGCCATAAATAAAATTAAAAACACGGAACTTATGCATAATAAAACGCATTATTGTTTAAATAAAATGACAACAAAGTATTGGTTACCATAAATAACTTGTCCAACAATGGGTTTACCATAAGTAGTATTGCTTGTCAAAAAAAAAATCCCCAAAATTCGTTCAACCGTCTACCAAAGTAGCACCAATTTTGCCTCAAATCTATTACATGCATTAGTTTTAATGGAGAATAGGAAAACACAAAAATATCCTTAATTTAATCATATTTTTGAAAAACATAATTAATTTAATATTTTTGTGCGATATAAGTAATAAACGCATATTCAAAATATAACATACCATAAAAATACAAGTATTACTTTATATAAAAGTGGAACAAGCATTTAATACATGAAAACCCAAAAATATCACTTAATAAACACATAGTAAAATTCTAATATATCATGAAAATATTATTAAAATGAAGCAAGTCTAAAATTCTTACCAACAAATGGATTATTGTCCATGAAGTCAAATAGCTTGCGGGTTCCAATGGTAAAACTTCCAACAATTTTTCCAGCATACACAGCTTTATATTTATTATTAATGCATCCAGTATTGACTAGATCAACTACACCATCACTGAACATCTCAGAATGAATTCCTAGGTCTTTGTGATTTTTTAAACTAGCCAATACAGCATCAGGAATTGAGCCAATTCCTGAAAAAATATATATTATATACATGTGTGCATGTATGTATGAACTAAATACTTTATAAAATAAATCCTATCAATAATTTTAGATATTAATAACTAGACTTATATAAAAAGATAATAATTATATAAAAGCAAAATTCTGAAAATTAATCTTGGTTAAATTATGATTTATTTTATGAAATACAAAGGTAAAAACATATATATTAAAGAAAATATGCAAAATATTTATAAAACATTTATTAGAAAGGAAGTTTAGTATAATAAACTTCGAAACGAAGATCAAGGCAAAATCCTACTTTGTAATCTTTCCACCAAATCGGCGTTTCTTTGCGAATTTTTTGGCCAGTTTCATTTTTTTTAGCAACAAACAGCACACTATCTATGAGGTTCCTTTTTTTATGGGATTGGGGGTATATGGCTAGCAAAATGTTGAGCAGTTTGTCTCATTGGATTGAGAGTTGAACTACAGACATTTTTTAGCTTTGAAAAGAGCGTGTAAAATGGTACAAAACATGCTTGTATTTTTCACAGAAATATGGAAAACTAATGCCATTTGTTAACCTAAATCTGAATAAACAATTAAACATCACAGAAATGCCGAAATGAAACCATGAACAGGAAAAGAGCTGGCTGCATAGTTAAGCAGATGGAAAAAATGCAGCCCCACTGAAATTGCAGGATACGCAGCAAGAGGATTAAAATTACTCAACATTGGTAAATTCTTTCAGATGCTTTCTGTTACAGATTAAAGTTATAATCACCATAAACAGTGCCAGTGGAAGTATGCTCAGCAATATCTTCATTCGGCTGATCTTTAGAATATGGTAACTGGTAGTTTGGCGATATTTTGGAGGCGATAAAGGTTACTACCTGGGACTTTGGTAATAATGTGAGCAGTACTCAGTTCCGATTACGCATTATTTTGTGTGAGGGAAATGAGAGATCATGGGATATGTCATGTGATATTTAATGGATGAATTACGGTTCTTTAATCGGAAAAGGGGGAAATCGACAAAAAATCTGGAAATTTTGTATTTGGCTTTATTCTGTGTTGTGTGAAACAGTGTTCGTTAATTTTTGGATCCCATGGTCCTAACTAAAGTGAATTCGAAATGGGTATTTAGTAGGATTGAAAGGGGTAGTAATAAGTGTTTCTTTAAGGTTGTGCGAGATAGAAGTAAAGATGTTTTATTAAGTTATTTATTTTACCTGGTACCTTGCTGTGAACTATAAGTATGATTTTAAAGATCCTGAAACAGAAATTAGAAAAGTTTATCGGACACGTAATCAAGATTCTGAAGAAGATTAGGTAAGTTAGTATTTTTAATTATTTGAGGATATTATTTTTATGCATTGTTCTAAATGTAAGGTGGAAGTAAAGTAATTTGGTATTATTGGGAAAATTGTTATTAGCAATGATTTAGTTTAAAGTAATTAGGATTGTAAGCTAATTTTATTAATTTAATGTATGTGCTTATTTATATTTTAAGTAGTGTTTTTGAATTTAATTATATTTTAATTATGATAGTTATTTTGTGAATTTTATGTTTGTAGGAATTTGGTATACGTTTTAGTTGAAGTAAACGTGCATGGAAATAATTTAAATATTTGACACTAAGTATTTGTAATGTTTGCGGTATGAATTCGTTGGTGACGTGTATAATATAATAGATAATTTAGAGGTAAAAGTTTTTGGATATTTTATTTATTTTATACGTGGAAATGTTCATATTTGGAAAGGGTATATACTTTTTCGCGATCAGGGTAATTTCATATATGTTCTTTTTACCGGGTTTAAAGATTGAGAAAATTGTCATGTATTTTCGTGAAATTTTTCTAATTTATGAGAAAAAAGCAGTGTACATGGATATAGTGAAGAGTGTGCGCAATGCCATTTTTGTGTAATTCTGGGATGTTTTTTTAAGTAAAAATAAGTCGGCGTGTACATGGTTTATGTGTATGTGTTATTTTGAAAAACGCGTAAGGAGTATGGTATTGTGCACTTTTTCCCAATTTTGCAGTGAATATTTGTCATGATTAAGCAGTTTTGTTAGATAAAATTTCTAGCATAAGTGTAATTCGGCTAGTAGATTGTTGGAAGAAGTGTTCAGTAGATAAAAAGAAAAGAAACATGTCTTTACTTCGTGAAGACAAAATGGCTGCGGAAAAAAAAATAGACCGGTTGCTGTAGGAGAGTTGGTCGCCAAATTTTCGCCAAAAAATCGACAAGTTACCATAATGTAAAGATCAACCCTTCATTCCTACAGCATAAGATTAATAACTAGTTCTCATAATTTTTCATATGAGAGTGATACGGTAGGTGTTTGTACATCAAAACTTACTACAGAATAAATTCAAGTTAAAAAAAATAATAATAATAACCATCTGCAATAATAATAACCTTACCCATCTGCAAAGTTGCTCCATTTTCTACTAAGTTGTTAGCTATCAATTTGCCAATGTTGAGCTCAACATCAGTTAAAACATCTGCTTTGTGTTCTGGCAATTCTCGCTCACCTTCAACCAAAGCATCAAAATGCGATATATGTATAGTTGCATCTCCAAATGTTCGAGGCAAGCGAGGATTTACTTGGCCTAGAAGAAAAATACGTAATATGAATATAATAAAAAGCTAAAAAATAACAAATGTTGCGAGGCAAAACAAGACATTTTAAGATAGAAAGGCTTAATTCATATTTAGTGAACAAAATTTAATAGTTTTCCTTAATACATCTTAATTTACATGCAATAATATTAATTAAATATTAAGGTAGTGCAACATTTCTGCAAAGATTAAAATTCTCACCAGACACTTACACAAGATATAAAATTTAACACTAAAACTAAGTATAATTTTGTAAGTAGTAAATATACTGTACCAATGACATATTTAGCATGCATAAGAGCAGCTCTTGTACAGTCCACACTGGTTCCTATGCTGCAATAGCCATGGCTGTCAGCTGGAGTAATCTGTACCATTGCTACATCAACTGGTACAATTTTTCTATGGAATAGTAATGGAATTTCACTCAAGAAAATAGGAACAAAATCTCCTCTTCCTGAATTGATAGCTTCTCTGCAATTGGCACCAACAAAGAAGGAGTTACTGCGAAATATTCCTATAAAGATACATTTTTTTTAAAACATATTTCAGGAAAATTTCACATAGTATCAATAACAACACAAATAATAATAAAAATACAAATATTATAAATAAATATATGTACAAAATGATCATACATTGATTGTTTAAAATGAATTATTTTTCAAAATGAAAAAGGATGTTAATTATCCGATAACAATTTACTCCATGACGCAAAGATATAGTATTCTACTAAATGAATTAGGCCTCGCACATTATTATTCAAAATTTACTGATGAATATGTCACCAGTAAATCAAGTATTAAACTAGAACAGTTTTCAGAATAAAATCAATTGTTATTCTGCTTTAAAAAGATTAAAATGACTGAAAATACAAATGAATCAGTTAATTCCACAAATGCAAAACCATAGCAATTATGCAACACAAATATTTATTCCATCTAAAAATATTCTACTTTCAACAACAGTTCTACTTCAACAACTCAAACTGAAGAACTGCTATTATTACTAATTAAAAAAATATTTTTTCCTCTTTTACCAATAAGACTTTTATTCTACTATGAATCTGAACTTAATTTTGTAAATTACTAGAATTTTAACAGTTTTCATGAAATTGCTGAATTTTTATTTAAAAAATTTTAATAAATATACTGAGCTTATTCACAAAATTAATTTTTCAGTATAATAGTTTTAGTTAAATTATGCATCAAAACTGAAAATATTACAAGACAAGTCTAAATTCATTACCAATTTTTATAATGTTTTATAAAATGCTATTTTAATCTATATCTTTAAAGATGAATACGGTGAGCAATTATATTAGAATTACTAATCAACCTACCTATTATTCCACAAAAGATTTATAAATTGATAGAAATACAAAGACACAGCCCTTTAAGACTTTATATTTCAGTTCAATAAAATAATTTTAAAAGGCATCTGAAGGTGTTTTGTAATGACACCATGATTTCATCACATTTAACATTGTTTAGATAACAAGAAAGCGGAAAAATCAGATACCTGGAAAAATTACCAGAACTTTTATGAGGCAAAATTCTGCTGGCACAGCTATACGTAATAGCCAGCAATAAGACTCTGAATAGTATCAATATTATTCAGAAGATTGCACAACTAAGTGTAATATTCAAAATAGTGTAAAGCTAGTGAAAATACTTATTGCATTCAGCAACGATATAAATGCCTTATAAAAAAACTTGATGATTTCAAGATTTTATTACTTTTAATAATCAAAAGATTCTTAGGACTGATACCAACAGAAAACAAAAATCGTATAGCTTTTAAAAAAATTGCTTAAGTATAATTTTGCATTTAAGTCAAAATTTACATTTACAATCAATGAAATTAGTGCATCAGGAAAGAAGTTCTGAACACAAGTGAAATGAATAAAGATACATATTGCTACGAATTTGCATACATATAAGGTAAATGAACCCATAACTGACTGAATGGAGTTGTAGGCAATAATTGTTATTGGTCATAATAACTACAACTACTTCTACTAGATAATAACTACTACTTTCACTTCACTTATAGTTTCCTCATGACATTGAATTGGTAAAGACCAAAAGGTGTGATGATGGCAGTTTTCTTTATCTTTGTCTGCTACTGGAATGTGAAAATACGCTTTAAAGAGATCAATTTTAGAAAATATAGTTTTATGAATTAAAATATGTTGAAAATCTTGAATTCGAGGATTGAGATAAAGATCAGGTAGAGTTAAATCATTCAGTCTTCTGTAATCCCCACACGGGCAGAAAAAACCGTCCTTCTTTGTCACTATGTGTAGGGGACTTGCCCATCCTGAACTGGACAGACTAATGATGTTATTGTCCAGCATATATTTGAATTCTCTTTTAGCTATTTCCAACCGCTTAGGGTCTAATTGTCTTACTTTACAATTTTTTACAAAGAAGGACAGTTTTTTCTGCTCGTGTGGGGATTACAGAAGACTGAGTGATTTAACTCTACCTGATCTTTATCCCAATCCTCGAATTCAAGATTTTCAATATATTTTAATTCATAAAACTATATTTTCTAAAATTGATCTCTTTAAAGCATATTTTCACATTCCAGTAGCAGATGAAGATAAAGGAAAAACTGGCATCATCACACCTTTTGGTCTTTACCAATTCAATGTCATGAGTCTAGGCCATAAAAAACTTCATTGAGGAACCTCCGAAAGGTTGCGGGGGCATTTTTGAGACCAAAACTTCAAATAGGAAACCTATATAGGATATTTTGATCTATAATCCTGTGACAAAATAATATTGGGCTCTCTTCATATTCAATAATATTGGGACTCACTTCATATTAAAAATCAAATCTTGTACTCAGAAGTTCGAATGGATGATGGAAAGGCATTGGGATGGCAGCTGATACTTTCAAGATCACAAATGTCCTTAAGAACTATACAATAGTCCAAAGGAGGCCACTTTGAAATAATGAAGACTTTACACAGAAGAGCACTTCTACTGAAGTAAAGCAAAAGCTGACAAGCAAAAGTGGAGCCAATCATGCAATGCCTGTGCAGATCAGAAAGGACTGAAGAAATGCAGCCAAGGGAAGTTGCAATGCTACAGTATAAAAGCGCTTTTATAACAACATCCTTGACATCCTTAGACCTCTGCCACGAACTTATGATGACTACAAATACATCCTTGATGTCACTGATTACTTTGCAAAATGGTCTGAAGAATATCTGTCTCTGATCAAAAGGCTGACACAGTAGCAGAGATAATGATAAAGCATTGCATTTCTAAGTTAGAAGTGCCTCTTCAATTGCATTCCGATCAAGGAAGGAGTTTTATCTTGGCTGAATCAAACAGCTTTGTAAAATACTTGGCATACACAAAACCCAAATGATACCTTGACATCCACAATAAGATGGCATGGTAGAGAGATTTAATCAAACCACCCTTAATAACCTCTCACTGATGGTTTCCAGAACCCAAAAGGACAGGGACCAGAAGTTACCACTGTTCTTACTGGCCTAATGCAGTGCTATCCATGAAACTTCTGGCTATTGTCCATTCCAGATGCTCTACAGATGTGACCTTTGTCTACCTTTCAGTCTTCTGTTTGGTCGCCCATCGAATGCACCTTCATCATCTGAGGAATAAATTCAAGATCTTCAGGCATGGTTTGAAGTGATGCAAAGCTTTGCTCAAGAGCAAGTGAATTTGGCAAAAGAAAAGGTGAACAAGAAGAGCAATAGGACATCTGTTCAATGAAGGTGACAACAAAAGTGTGGTTATTTGATGGAAAGGACTTTCTCGTAAACTACAGTCATCCTGAGATGGTGCTTAGACAGTCCTAAACAGGCTGAATGATGCTGTAGTTCAAATCTACCAGTCCTCAAATCATTAGTCTAAAGTGATTCATTATGGCAGGCTAGCCATCTTACTACAGCCACAGTACATAGTCCCCATAATGTATATAACATAAATAGTATACTAAACCATGGTCCTATGTATATATAAAAATGTGTAAATGCTTGCATTTATTTATTGATTGATTGAATTAGTAATTTGTTTGTTCTACGTTAGTTATGGAAACTATTATTTTAGTATTGCATTGGTTTTTAGCTGTAAGTATGGCTTTCTGTCAAGGGATTATACTCTAAAAAACATGCAATCCTTGGGAATGGGGCAACGTTATAAACTTTGTATATATGTAAAAAATTTTAGTGAAATTATTTACGGATATATTAAATTCCTCACCCTATAGTATCTCATGCATAATGTAACATGAAATGCCTCAAGTTGCGAAGTATTGCCAGAAAAATAAGATTATAGGGGCAGGTCCATTTAAAATGGAGGTTTCACGAGATAGTGCAAGGCTGGCAATGACTTTGGCAACTAATTTTATCCAGTAAATTTGGCAAGAAATCACCAAAATTCACCAGTTTTGCTACATTTTGATCTGATCTTGGTATAACTGTAACTAGTCTGATCCTTATATTTAATTGTGACTGCATATGCCTTTCTGCAATTTCAGGAAATCAGGTACAGGAAATTTGCACTTCTGCAGCTGAAGAGAAAGTTCCATATTTAAACTTCAAAAATAGTCCTGCAAATTCATAAATATTAATTCTGATTCTTTTTGCTCTAGCTCTTTCAACAAAGCATTTTTTCCCCCTTTTGTAAACCTGACTACATCATCTGCTGCTTTTCTGCAATCAATGCTGCTATTTAAATCTACTGATTTGCAATTGCAGTGCCACTGGAAAGTGTGTGACCCTACATAATCATGTCAAATTTGGATCACCTCTATACCAATACAGCACCAAACAGACCAATACAGACAGGGAAGAATAAGTAGCATACAAACTACAGGCATAGTTTTGCAGTCATGACACTTTTTTTTTTTTAAATATATACATATATATGTAGTATAGATGACACTGGTACTTTTATCAGCTTGCAGTTGTCATGGCCGAGGACGGATATTTTGATGCGCTGCAGCTTGAAGTCTGAGCAGTTAGAAGATGGATGCATAAAACAAAAACTTCTAGAGGCCATTTCAAAACACAATTTTATTGCATGATAATTTATATCAGATCATTTTTTGTAGACAAGGTATTTATCCAATCTTATTTAAATACAATAATTTTTATGTACACTGGTTTTAAAGGTATGACATAAGCATCTTAGACAGGGAAGAATAAGTAGCATGGAGATGTTGGCAGAAGTTAAGAAAAGGAATGACGTAGTTGCTTGCAAGCAGTATTTATACTAAGTAGGTGCATAAGTACAATTACGCTGTGATTAGTTAATTTTAGGTAACATGAACTTGAATTTGGGAGAACAGATGAACTTAGGGAAGAGAACACCAAATTTAGAATAGTCAATTTTGAGGTTGCCAATTATTTGGATGCATAGCCATCATATCTTATTATATCTTACATATATATATGCACTAATTTCATTGACTTTAAGGGTTCTCCTTGATTACTAAGTTAAGTGCTCTGAAAATGTTACCTTTAAATGGATATTGACTGTTAAATTCTTTTAATATTGGAACTTTAAGAAGCAACATATTACCTGCACACTCAGGATGATTATACTCAGCAGCTCCTTCTGTATGAATGTGACATACTGTGACATTTTTCAATCCAGACTTTTTACCATGCTCAGCTAAAGCTGGAACCAGAACACGAGGTGTTGCAGCTGCACCTTGGACAAATACAGTATCTCCTATTTGAAAGAAAGATTTTAAAAAACATTAATGTTATATTGAAAACAATCATGGTGTCAATGTTTTTTTATCAGTTGGTTTGCAACTATATGGTGTATGGTATAAGTAAATGTATATAGAAACAATAGATTTCAAAAATTTGAAATATAACATCAATTTTTCCCCTTCTACAAACGCATAGCTTCATAACCATAGAAAATCTTCAATTCATATAGATATTGCATCCTACATATAAGCCACCATCAAAAAGTGAATTAAATGGTAAATCATTACATAATATGTAGAAAGAACAAACATAGTTAATCAAACACTATACATAGTACTAGACGGTTAGTCTAATATCCACAATCAACTACAATAATCTACATATAAATTTCTCCAATGGATGTACATTTAATACACATTACAGCTGTACATTTAATAGAAACTATTGATACAACATTAACATCACATACAAATGAAAAATCTTTGCCTTGCTGTTATTGCCATTAAAAAGTTGAAAATTTTAAATGTCAAATGTGTTAAAAGTTGAAAATTTTAAATGTCAAATGTGTACCCTTTTAAGCAATAATACAACAGATAAGACAAAAATGAGAAACAATTTTCACCTTAAACTTCACAGTTGTCCAGCATATGTTAATTTGTTAGCCAAAGAATTAAATATAACAAATGTTACTGAGTATGTTATTCAAATCATAAAATATTTTTTAAATCACCAGCCAGCCCATACCAGATTTAATTAATACAGTGAAAATGGATTAAATATACCATTTGAAATATGTTAGAACTCAGTATATGACGCCCTTGAAAGCTTTAGGAAACAACTGGCCATTTTTTATAAGTTTCCAGATATAATAATGAAAATACAGTAAAAGGTTTTTAACATGTCAGTCAAACAAAGCTGATATCTTACTTCATTTGAACACAGTTTCAGCTGCTTTTAATAAAATCCAGAAAACTGCACCACTGCTGAAAATCTTATTAAAGTTTGGAAAGATCTCAAAAATAGCTTAAAAAATCTTAGTAAAACACTCTTGCACAGAATTATTTAAAACAAAATACAAACAAGCACTGTAAACAGCACATTAACAAATTAAATTACCAAATAATAGAGTCAAAGCCTTACCAGCAAGTGAAAAGGAATTGGGATTAGTAAAAGAAAATATGCAGACAATACTTCGTTTGCATTAAGATTCAAACTTATAATTTATGCTATACACACAACTGTTTTTGAAGATAAGAGAGTTAGTAATCACACAAGTAGTAAGCTGCACATATTGCAGATATAAATGACATGTCTGTGATTATATTTATTCTAATTTTTTATTTTGCAACATGTAAAGTAAAAAAGTTTTTTAGCCCAAAGTAGCAATAAGCCCAGAAGGGCTATTAATTTCGTTTGGGCATTTTGCATTGTACACTATCACTTTTCAAATTATTGCCACTAAATACTAGAGCCCTGCATAATATTTAAAGAAACTAAATAATGAAATGAATAAATAATGAAATAAATGAAGAATCTGCACAAATGCATATACATTTCTCGCATTGTGAAAAAACAACAGCACCTCTGGAATCCCAAATTTGGAATCTGTTTTATTATCTATTTAATATTTTGTAAAACTTTTCAGAAATTTTTTATTAACAAACTCGACAATTTCAAAGCTACCAATGGCAACACTGTACATATATATATATATATATATATATTTTAATCTCTACTGTGCGAGACTGTATATCAGAAATTTGTATATCAGACTTTTGTATATAATATTTGTATATCAGACTTTTGTATATAATCTTTGTATACAAGACTGTATATCAGACTGTATTTAAATTATTCTGAAGTATCTAATAATTCTCCTTTTGATTACTTTGTGTTGTGTTACTGTTGAACTGAATTTTATAGTTTAAGTGCAAAGAACATGCTATTTAATAAATAAGTATAACACACATAATGTTTAAAAAAAACGCCATTTTTAGACGTAATATAAAATCTGAAAGCCTTTAGATAATTTTTTTTTTCAGCCGAAAGGGGCGGATGATGTTATAAACAAACCAACAGACGTGCACAGAATTTAATAGTACAGACTAGTGGGCTTTTCCAGCAAACAACCAATTAGAAAATAAATATATTGTTGCCAAATAAACGTTTTCAGAGTTTTTAATTAATATATCGCAACAAACCAAAAAAATATATGAAACGAAACAAATCCCGTTTTGAAACTAATAGCACTTCTGCACTACCATCTCTTTGGGCTAAACAATCAAAAAATTAATATAACGCGTAATCCGCAGCAACCAATTTGTAAATAAATTTTTTGTCGCCACATTAGCGTTTTCAAAGATTTAATATCTCGCAACAACCACAGCAATCAGTAATTAACATCTCAAGCAACGCACAAAAAATTTTTGTTGCTTGTACCATTTTTATTTAATGTCTCGGCTGATTAAAATCGTACGAAGATGAGAATGGTCAAATGGCTTCCCACGAAATTTTGAATCTAGGGGTACCTCTCTCGAAAATCAACTTCCTGCCATTCCAGAGGAGTTGTGTTACTGTTGAACTGGATGTACATTTAATACACATTACAGCTGTACATTTAATAGAAACTATTGATACAACATTAACATCACATACAAATGAAAAATCTTTGCCTTGCTGTTATTGCCATTAAAAAGTTGAAAATTTTAAATGTCAAATGTGTTAAAAGTTGAAAATTTTAAATGTCAAATGTGTACCCTTTATTACAAACTACTAGCAAGCAAACAGACAGACAGACGCGCACCGCTCTGTTACCTGTATATGTTTGTAAATTTTACATTTTTAGCTTTGAAAATGATTGAATTATGTTGTTTTTATCTTCCAGTTAAGGTTTTTATGCCTTCGGTAAATTTGAATGCAATATTTTTAGAATTATCAACAATTTTAAAGTTGTTTAAGTGCCGCTAAGCCTTTTTTTTATGGCGGCCATTGATTGTTTACATTTGAAACAGCAGACTAGTGGATTTGTTGCCAATCTAGAGAAACTTAGCTTCGCTACAACAAAGATAACGCCTTCATTTATTATTGCCAATTAAATCATGCTTAATCCTTTATGGAATTTTTTCGAGGAAATAAGCATTTAAGATTTACTTCGTAATTTTTAATATAGATATTTTGAGTTTTTATGTATTTTTGCCTTCTCGCGAAGTGAGAACTGAATCAATTGAATGAGAAATACTCAATTGTCTGTGAAAAACTGTTTCTTTTTTGTTTTGTTTGCTTAAGTTCTTTTATACATCATTCTAGCTTTATTATAGCATTTGAATAGAACTCGTGGCAACGATTAGATAATTCTATTCTTTAAATGATATAAATTTTGTGCATTATGAGTTATAATATGAACGAAATATATTACTGTTAAGTGAATCTAGCACCAGAGTGTCGCTACGGTAAACAAATACTAGAGTGAATTTTAAAGAATGCATTTATTCTATTGTGGTTTATGCGCTGTCAGTGAAGTAGATGTAATTCAATCCAATAATGTTAAAGGAAATGCAAGAAAAAATGCGTATAACTTAATATTCCGTACAAGGAAGCCATGTGGTGTACACATCAGATTTTTTTAATTAATTATTTCTAAAAATTATTTCTGTCTCCTAGGCTGATTTTCCTCTTGCAGTAAATTTTGAATTTGGATTATTATTTAAAAGGAACATGATAATGTAAAAACATCTATCTGCATTTTATATGCTTACGATTATATCAAACTAAACATTCGGTAACAAAACGAGATATTAATCCCAGCCAGTTATCATTACAGTTCAAGTAAACAAGCTAATACATTATTTGTAATGCAAGTTTAGCATTCAGTTCTATTTATCTGCTTAAAAAGGACTAATCTTTTTCAAGAAATTTCCGGCAAAAGCGTATGAAGCACTACCCCACCACTCCACGTCCACACCCTGCGCTGACTGTTTGAATGATAACAACTGAACTTTGAGACCTTTAGAGAGAGTGTGAAGTTTACTACAGACTTTTGACTCGATTCGAAGGGCAGAGAAATCACGACCTTAACTTCACATTTTTTCCGCATGCTTGCCCGATAATAGGTTCTGGCAAGGAGACCTATTTATAGATGACTAATTCAGAACGAGCCAGGCAGTGTGCCACAACGATTACGCTATTCTCGTAATAAATACATCGGCATATTAAAAATATATTTTAGACAACCACCCACATTAACGGAAGAGACAATATTCATTCCGAATAGTTTTCTTTCCTATAGATAATTTCTTACGCTGGACTTTTCAAAAAAAAAAAAAAAAAAAAGGTAGAAGTCTATTTCTTTAAATATCGTTCCTAGACATGTACTTTCAAAGTTTCTCAAAATATATTCTTATGAAAACTGTTTCAATGCTGAAAGAAGGTAGAAAAATTATCTAAATACAAAAATCTAACTTTTCACATACACACCATGAAATAACCGAGATTAATAAAATTTCTTCGTGTCTTAATTAGACAAAAAAATTCCATTCTAAAACTCACTCTCATCGATCAATTTTATATGCCTACCGTAAAACGATTTCAATAAAATTTTAGTCGGATTAACGAAGGAACAGCATAAGCAGCTCATTTTGATGAATAATAATTTTGTTGTGGGTAAAACCGCATTCAAAACTGACCTTATAAAACTATTACCTAAATATTATCTCCGTGAATTTTTTCACGCAAACATACGAAGTTTTTTTGTACGTACGAACATCACGAGCATTCTATGAATCCACCCCGTCTGTGGAAAATAAATTTTTAAATGTCTGATTTTATTAAGCCCAGAATTTTACAATCCTGAAGCTATTTTCATAAACTTTTCTATCTTGTTTTGTAAAACCTTATTATAATTTCAGGTACAAGCTTAGGATCAATTTTTAAGCGAATAAAGTCTGTAGCCATCTTTTCCGAACAATCCTATGTAATAAATTATCCCTGACGTTTGCAATTCGAATGATAGAAACC